AAGCGCAATTTTCCACTCAGCAACTGTTTTTCTAAGGGTATGAAGGTGAATGTAGTTGAGTTAAGAATACAGTCACATCCACACATCCCCACCCACACCCCATCGACCAGCTAGTCTCCCAAAAGTTTTTGGAAAATAGAATTTTATAAGTTACCCCCCTCCCCTAATTTTTGTTTGCTTCCCACACTCCTGGTAATGGTATTCGCATAAAAGAAAGTTAGACGGGTGTTTCCAAGCAGGCCACGCCAAACAAATAAGTTGGCCGGTACAGACAGGCTTGGAGTTCAGAAGCCTGTCATAGGCCGACTAGGCCTGAAAAAACGTAGCCTGGTTGAACCTCTGGTAGAGAATGAGCGGGATCAGGTCTACATCGACACCCACACCCACACCCTCAAGATGGGAAGAGAAGATAAAATAGTAATAGAAATTCTAATTCCTAGGAATTTCGTGTGATTCCAGAATTGAGGGAATTGATTCCGCGGCGGAACTGGTTCCTGAATGTTCAACATTGCGGAATAGTAGGACTGCTCCTCGATTAGAATAGGGAAAAGGATTTTTTCACTAAATCTTTCCATTCAATTAGTTGTGAAACCATTTTATTGGGTGATTACAAAAGTACTAATGTTAAATCATGTAAACTTACCTATCAACCCTTTTGGAAGTTGTTACTTTTCTGTAGTTCAATGTTGACTAGTGCTGAAAGACTGTTCAACAAAATATTACCGTTAATTGGATGAATGAACCGTGCGCTAGAACCCACTATCTCAATAACAGATTGTGGACACCGAATAATTTGCAAAATAAGTTGATGATACCAGTCCTTCAAAATGGATTCAAATCTAGAAAAAAATTCTTGTTTCAGAAGAAAACAATCTTGTCTACAATTGACAAGCTAAATCAATCGATCGACGAAGAAAAAACGAACTCAATAGTTGAAAACAGCAATGTAAAAGTAAAAGTAAACAGACAGTAACTGGGGATGCTGATGTATGCAGTACTTCGTCTTTCCACGGAACAGAAAGCGAAAAATAAAAATGTTTTATAAAGAAATCCAATCAAAGAACAGAAGAAAGAAAAGGACTGGCTTCCAACGTAACTGCACGGCAAAGTATACTTTTGCATACATTCTCCGATAACACGATGAGATTAAAGGTCGTTCGGTAACTATAACGTTGGCAACACGAAAAGACAACCATAATAGAGTTTTCTATTCAGAGCACTCATATATTTTTTGATTGCCCATAATATTTATTCTCAGTGAAGAAAAGCAAATTTACCTAAAGGATGTAGCATTAATTTTTATCCCCTTATACAATTTTTTTTCTCACATCTTTCATCAGTTGAAAAGACTGATGTTTCCGTTGTCGTAGAAATTGCCGAAAAGCTGCAGATTAATCACCAATTTTCAATGATACTTTTAGTGATTATTAGGATCAATCGCAATTCATTTCCCGGTTATTTTTAATGCTAACCATAGCTCTATTCCCAATCTGCTGTCAGATTTTCGTGATCCCAGATTCATTTATTTATTTTCTTAAAACCCCATCTACCTTTTAGATTAGAGTTTATTTAAAAAAGCTTTTCAGCGCAGCCCTGTTAGGGCTAAAATGAGAAACTCGCATATTTTGGGCGACTTAAACAACTTTGAAAGCATGTTCAGCTATTTTAATTCAACATACGTATTCAAATCCCTAAGTTGAAATTACAATATTTAAATAGCATATATGAATAATAAAAATTCCAAACAGTGTATAGCTTTATTACCTTTTCAAAAATTTGATGATAATTATATATAGCTATATGAGATATTTTCCTTATAAACAATTAGAATAATGAATGCTGTTGATTATTAAATACTTTAACGACGGTTGAATTCAATTTCAAAAGTAAGATTTCATATCTAACATGAAAATTATATATTGATTATTCAGAAAAATAGCTGAATAGGTGAAACTTAAAATTTCTTTCATTTAAATAACCTATATGACTACTTTTGAAACTATTTAATTAGAAAAAGCTACAGTTAAGTAAATGTTCGATAATGTTTTTGAGGTTATTGATGTAAAATAATATTTTGAAGAAATATTTCATATTTTATTTTTGATCTTGAAATAAAAGATAGCCGAAGACAATGGTTAATGTTTTTAATCTATGATAGATAATCCTTAATACATCTAATCATAGTAGACAGTAGCTGCTAGTTTTCGTAATAGTAAAAATATACCAGACAGTTGTGACTATGAACTATAATAATAAAAACGGCAGATTTTGAATATTAATTAGATACTAAATCCTAATTGTGAGGATATCTAATTAGTGAAACTAGATTTTAATTACTGATATGAGTAGTGTTGAGCATAGGCAATTGACCTGTACGAAAATTTTATTTAACTAGTGCACTTAAGTGTTAGTTTTTCATGTTTTATGTCTGTAATGGCGAGCGGGAGTGGGGTACAGGGGAGCCGCAAAATCCTTGCACTTCAACTTACACTCACTATTCTATTTTCTTTTAAAATATATGTGAGTTTCACAAAATGATAACGGTTTTTATCAGGTCTACCTAAGGAGACCATAAGCGCAACTCGACTCTCAAAACAGGGAGGGGCACAATATCGATTTTGGCTATAATTTTACGATCCGTCGAATAAAATTTCCAAAGAGGAGGGGTGTGGGATATTATGGAAAGCTCCACACCCACACCCTCAAGATTGTCACTGTTGGGTGTCCGTGTGCTTCTTAACATTTCTGTAACTCAACACATTAAATACTTCCAAACATTTCAAGTTGAAGCGATATTGAATTTTTGTACTCGATGATTTCCGCAATCGAAGACATAGATATTACCGTGTCGATCGAATGATAAACGGGCGGGCCCATTGAGTTGATTCAATTGTCGTCCTCCTCCACCGTTTCCACCCACAATCACATTTTCCTGTGTGGCTCCTTTGTGTCAAAGCATGATTCGAGCATTCCCTCCATCAGCCACATAGAAAGTGTGAGGGGAGGGGGAGGGAGAAAGGGTTGTCTGCCTTCTTTTTAGACACACCCACGCTCACACACCCCAAGATTTTTGAAAGAGATGCGACCGTGAAAAAGAGACAGCAATCGCAATCCCTCGTTCATTGTAGATCCATCCTTGGTAGTCATGTAATTAGGGTGTTGCATCTTCATGGTAACCATTCCCAATAGCACTACTGTTTACAAAGGAAAGTATTGATTGTGGTGCATGGATATACAGGTCTCTACATGTAATACTTTAGAAAATAACACATAATCGTTTTATGTATTTGTAGAAACCTCTTAATGAAAAAGATGCGCTAAAATAAACTACATTTTGTTTTTTTTTGCTAGAACAACGTCTCTAACAAAATAAAAAACCAAGACAATTTTACAGTAAACTATTGATTATGTGTATTGAAATGTTAGAAATTGTAATCCAATGTGGGTGTGGGTGTGAAGAAAACTAACATTCGCACCCACACCCTCAAGATTAGCATATAAAGTTAATTCGTCAATAACGTAATTATTCATATTTTCAACAGCATTAGTACAACTTTCTCGTTCAGCATAATTAATAAAACTAAAATATTCAATAAAAAAATAATTAGTCAGTTAATTTTTAAATAATTAAAAATAAAAAAACTTGCCCACAATCACCTTCATAATTTGAATTAATCGCCAAAATTCTACTTGGTACAGTACGACCAAATTTTGAAAAAAGTTTTTCAAGTTGACTCTACGAAATCAATAAATATAAAAATAATTTTCATTTACACAAATAAAAGAAAATACTTAAGTGTAATCTTTTGGTAAATTTTTAATAACAAAAAAGCAATTTGTATCTGATTGATTAAAGAATATGAAAATATAATGTTTTTACTATGTGATGCGTCATCGGTTAAGATAATCCACACACACCACTTTGAGCTATATACACGAAATAGCCATTGAAATAAAATATATCGAGTCTCTGTTATAAAAGAAAGAGGACGTTCGTAAGAAGATGCAGTTACAGTCTACATAATTACATCAAGATGGACACTAATTAGTTCTTGACTGAGGTATTAAACTAGTTGAGTCGTCCAGTTCTTCTGAATCGAATAGAAACTGGTTACCACAATTCTTTCAAACTGAAAGAATATTGCTCACCCGTCTCTCAGTCAAGAACTATCTATTGTCTCTTTCGGCGTGAGTTCCTAAGTCAAGAAATAGACTGATTCAACAAAACAATCTTTAAGACACAGGATAGTGCTGCTTTCCATATTATAAAACTGTTGCGCAGACATTTGTTTACATATATGTCGATCTAATGAAATGGTAATATCTTGATTTCTTTTTCAAAAGATGCGTCATAAAATGCTCTACTGAGTTGTTTCGATGATTTTTCCCATAAGCAAAATAATAAAGTTACAAGATAATGCTATCTTGTGCCATACTGAACTTGTTTCGAAATTTTTTTGTCTTAAATATGTCTCCGTTTCATAAAATTCTACATAAGCTGTGTGAGAAAATTCCTATTGCAAAACAACAAAGTCTTCCAAAAATGTTTATTACACTTAATACGATGTGAAGTACCACTAGCATTTAGCTTTTTTAAATTTTGAGTATATATTATACATACTATTGATATTTTTATTTATTCTTATAAAATAATGAGCGTGTATACACTTATACATGGGCAGACAGAACGAGAGAAGAGAAAATAACTCGAACAATTTTACTCAACTGATCAAGTATTGAAATATTTAGAGGAATTGTTTGAAAATAGATAGAATTTATGTGTTACAGTGAGTAGTACGTTGGAAAAGCAGCTTTAATAGCACGGCTGTATTGTTATGCAAGATGTTTCTCATAGATTATTGAAATGCTATATTTCCAATAAATATACGAGCATTGATTAATGAGATTTATATTAAAGATTGAATCTTGAAAACCAATAAAACATTTTCGATGTTTCAAATAATCGAGATGAATACGAAGAACATTTTAAATTAATTTTAATGAAAATTAAAAGCTTAAATGATGATGCTATTTTATTTATTGATGATCCAGAGAAGTACAAAGTTGCTCAAGAACGAACTCTAAAAGAACAAGAAAATATCAGTAAAATGTAGAAAAAAGAAAAAGAGCTTTTCGCAAAACAAAAAGCTTTAAAAAAGCAATAACAAGAAGTTTATTTAAGTATTGCTAATAGTAATATATGTTTACAGTTGGTAATTAAGGAGAAATAAAGCCTTAATTTTGAGAAATCCATATTGATTAATGGTGATGATGTAATTTAATAAATATTAAATAATGAAGAAACAAAAGGAGATTACAGCTGGCTCAAATACCAATCTTAAGTAAAACTATTTTCCAAGCATTGCAGCTTTTTAATTTATTGAATGAGAATAATCAGAGAACAAGTTCATAGAAATTTTTCAAGGAACCAATTTCAAGTGCCTTATTGTATACGTTTTTCTTATGTTTCTGATCTAAATGAAGCACATACATTTGCTTCATCTTGAATGTCTCAACAGAAGTCAATTTCCTGTTTAAGTTCTTTCATTAGCTTTCGTCGAAATCGAAAATTGCAGTGAAATATTTTACGATGTTATTATATATAGCTTAGTTTAGAATGAAAAAGTAATAAACAAAACAAATGATTTAAGTCTATTTCTTATTGATAAAATGAATTCTATTTGAATTTATATCTGATTGAGTTTGTTTATTTTTGCTTTCAGGTAATTTTATAATATGTGAAAATTGCTTGGTACCTTTGGAATCATTAACATTGATTCAGTCACAACAAGTTCTTAACATCATTGAATATTTATATAATTGCCGTATTATTCAGCGTGATTTACGTCCAGATAATTTGATGTTAGATTCAAGTCAAGAACATTTAAAATTAATTGATTTTGGTTTTGCTACAACTTATGAAATCGATGAAATGACAAAGCAACTGCCTATTGAAGGAGCAGTTTCATATGCTGGCGTAAAATTGCTAAAACGTTACTACAATTTACTCTTATGATTATGAACGAACCCTTGATCTGCAATGTGCAATAAATGTCATGATGTATATGACAGATGACATCATGAAAAAAAGGAATGAATTTAATTAAAACAGTCGTGAGTGTTGAAAGAAAAGTATTAAGATTGCAGCAATTATGGATCGATATCACACGTGAGAATGACAATTATTCTAAGATATTAAATTTAATAAAACCTTTGAAAGAGCCACCAAATTTTGATGCTATCAAATTTGAAATAGAAAATGATCTGGCATTTAAAAAATGAAGAACATCTTTAGAATTGCATGTCTAGTCATGTTACTAATGAAAACTTCATTGTTTGTAGAGTTCAGTTAGCTGATCATTTTGATGTATTTCGATTGAACAAAATACCATAGTATCTTTGCTTTTCAGAAGTGGAATTTTCATAGTTTTCTCCTTGTAAAATTTTTCAGCTGCTTGCTGGATGTTTGGTTTTTATCTTATTATTTTTACTAGATGTTTATTATGCATATACTTTCTGAAAAGACTCGTTTTTTTTTCAGTTTTCAATGTGGTATTGAAAAAATGCCACTCTGTTTTCAGGGTGTGGGATGTTCACTCTTAACTCTCAAAACCAAAGTCATCCATATCCAAAAGAAAATGAGGATCATCGCGTTAATTAACAAGATGTGGACTAGATATCGTCCTCCAAGATATAGTTCATCCTTTTGTCACCATGTGAGCCATGGTATCTCAAGCTTCGGGTTCAACCAAAAATACGAATAGCAAGCAAGCAAAACACAAACTCAGCGCATGCGACATTCTTTCGGTAAGATGAAAAGACGGCTACTTGCGAAAACACACGGAATGAATCTAATCGTAAGCTGCTCTTAGTACCGCAAAATGAGAAACACCCGTAAACATACAAGCACACGGACAAAGTATCTCGTCTGATATTGATCTTGCAGAAAGGCTAGAGATTCAGCAAATCTAGAACAGTAATGTAAGGTTGGGGATGCCAATTTTGGGTTTCCGTTTCTAGAAATCCGGGAACGAAAACTCCAGGACCCCTAACGTAAGGTGCCAATGTCAACAACAATGATATACTTGGTCCCAAATTCTAAAATTATTTTGTTAACCACAAGCTAAACGGTGTGTTAAACTGTATAAGATAGAAGCTTGCGCACATACACACCCTACACCCACATCGTTTTGTTATAGCATTTATTCTTTGATTTATGTTAGTTAAGAGTAATTTGTTGGCTGCAAAAATTAGTGACGTTTTATGGTGGATTGTATTACCTAATATGTTTGATAAACGAATGAAACATATGAAAAGCACAATACGAATAGCAATAGAGGATACCCGATAGCAACACATTTTAAACAAAAAAAGAACTTTCGATCCATAGATCTCAAAAATAAAATCATCCACAAATGTGACTTTTATTTAGGGAGTGATTTAGGGAAGCACAATTTGTGGAAAATGGTACCGGTTCAAATAAAAACACAATTCATGTGAATTAAATAAGTGCAGTTGTATCAAATGAACTAAAACTTTCTTGTGCATGTTGACTACGAAGCAAATCTTTTTTAACTTTTGCTGCACCATTGGCTCGTGTTGATGAATTCTGATGTGCACTAGGTGCATTTGTTTTTGTTTTTGAATGTATTGATACATTTTCAGGTTCTAAATGTCGTTGAAGTTGATAATAATAATCAGCACGCATATTTTCAATAGTAAGTCGTTCATCAGGCTTTGATAAGTTTTAAAAAAAGAAGTAAAGAAAAATACAACGTGGTTATTTTTATAATAAAATACGTACAGTTTGAATTAATCTTGTGACTAAAACTCTTGAACCATCAGGCATTCTTTTTGAATAGTTTGATTGTTGTGCTAAACGTTCTTCACGTGACACAGATTGTTCAACAATCAACATAATTTTTGCCCATTGTCGAAGCCATTCTTTTTTTCGTTCATTTACCATAGCATATGTGTTACCCATCACTATATCATTTCATTTAAAATCAAAACAAAAGTATTCAATTAAAACGTACTAGCAATAAGCATATTAACAAGGAGTACAGCAGCTGTTACAATATAAGTTACGAAACAAATCTAAAATATAATTTCAAATGTTAACAAAAATACAAGAACAGTATCGTATCTTTTTACTTTTCCAATGACTTGAATACCCATATTTGGATGTAAATAAAAATTTTTATATGCATCAGCTATTTGTTGAAGTGTAACACAAAACATTCGAAAAAATGTTTTAATAACTGTTGCAAAATCATTTTCACATTCAATTCTTACGAAAAGAACATGCAATGCTTGAGAAAATCCAACCATGAATACAAAAAATATTAAACAAAAACGTAGTAAATCACCCCGAATCATCGTATATATCATAACAACAAATGGACCAGTCGTACGAAAACCACTAAACAAAAAACATTCGATTATTGAAATGAATTATTTTTATTTACCGGCAAAAAAAGAAAAAATATGGTGCTCGACTGAGTATAGCATAAGTACAAAGTATATCATCAACAGCAATCGAACATGTAATCCTCGCTGGTATCATTGCCAATGTTAGTATACAAGAAAAAAGAAATAAAATTCTTGTGGGATCATTAACATAAATAAAATAGTCTAATTTAAAATGTTGATAAGAAAATTCGCGTACAGTTATGATGAGATAAAGCAATGAACCGAGAATACTTAGTCCATCAAGAAAATTCAGAGCCTAATAAAAATAAATGTAATAAAAACATATTGACTTCAAAAATTCATCATCCTACCAGTCCTAATAGGTCAAAATGACGTTTCCTATTCGAAACATATTTTGTACTACTATTGAAATTTGTTACATTATTGCTATCAAATAAAGCCAATTGCCAAAAAAAATTTGTATAATGACATTTACATTCAGGACGATCAGCTATGATTGATTTCCATTTATCCTCTTCTTTATCGATTGGATCTTTAATAATACATGATTGTGGAACACGATAATAACCACGAACAACTAATGCAAGGAAACAAATAGCAAAGTAAAATGCAAATATACCCATACGTTGGAAAAATCTTTAAAAAATAAATTCTATTTTCTATGAACAAAAAACAAAGATTAAAATACTTGAATTTTATAAATGTACGCCATTTTTCATTTAATAACTGAACAATTAAGCCATCCATCATGTCTAAATGACCGGCAGATTCCTAGAAAGTAAAACTTGTGTTCAAAAAATATCTCATCGAATCAATCGATCGATCCATTATATGTATTTTCAATAATAGAGAAGTCGTTTGTTTTTGCTTACCCCTCGTACAATGATACTAAGTGCACTAGTATCATTCAATGATCCATCTTTTCCAATTGTATCAATATCATCTAATGGGTAACCTGCACATGTTACATTTCCATATTGCCAATAGATCGTACGTGTTTTCTGTAGAATATGATCAAACATCTAAAATTAAAATGTCAGTCACATAAAAAACAACAACAACACATGCATACATCTTTATGAGCTTTAACAGCAGCCAATGTCAACGGAGTTAAATCTTGACGATTTTTAATATCCAAAGATGCACCTAATTCATAAAGTAAGTCTACCATAGGCTATTTAAAATGAAATTAATTAATTAGTTAAGCGAAAGATATAATAAAATAGATGTAACTAACAATTCGATTATAGATAACGCACATATGTAAAGCAGTATTTCCATTCGAATCTTGACAATTTGTATTGGCTCCTTTAGCAATTAATAATCTTGCAGATTCTTCTTGTTGTAAAACAGCCGCAAATGAAAGTGGATATTCACCGAAATAACAATAGCCTTCATAATCAGTCGGTACACTTACATCTGGACATTCTTTAGTTACGTTATCCACTCTAAAATAACGTCACAAAAAGATGGACTTCATTAGTTTTCCTCATACCGACTGGATTTTTGATCCTCTGGACAAAAGAATTTTCCACAACAACGTTGTGTAAAATCAACACCAGCGTCCAATAAGAATTTAACAGTTGCTGGTTCTTCATTGACAATTGCAATATGAAGAACATTTTCACCTGTAATTGAGAAAAAGAAAAACCGGTTAATTCAATAACTCAAAAGAATTCCATTCAGTCAACAACAAACCATAATATTCATCGCCCATATACAAATCATCAATCATTTTTGGATAATGTCTTAACAATCTTTTAGCTAAAGCTGTATGAACAGGGCTTGATGATAGATAACACACATGGAGTATTTGTTCGCCGACACCGCCACGTTGATCAAGATCCCAACATACACGTTTGGTTTCTTCGCCTAAATTGATAATAAATATTATTAGGATACTTTTATGTTCATTTTTAAACAACCATGTGCTGGATCTCCTTCATTTGGTTTAGCTGTTGAAACAATACTTTTGACTTTACTAAATGTATTATTTCGTCGTCGAACAATTTCACTAATCGTGACCTGAAAGAAAATGTGAACAAGAACTTCGTTTCTCTTCATTCGTCCTACCAATTTTCCTTCGCCTTCATTATATAGAAATCGTGGGATATGTTCACGTATCATTGCATCAATTTGTGTATAATCTTTTGTTCGATTTGCAACGCGCATAACTTCAATAAATTCACCACCACCCTAAATAGTTCGTTTTTTTTTTGAAGTACAATATAAAATATAGATTCAATTAAAACCTTATACTCACTGTCATATCAACGAAACGATAAAGTTCAGGCCCTTGTCCACCTGAATTAATTTGAGCTTTAACGCCAGAAGAGACTTCCGATGTTGTATTACCCATACAAGATTGCTAGTGAAACAAGCGACTGGCGATAATTATGATTGTGTTGAAATATTCAATTGAACGATTTTTTTCATCGATGTTGACGGGAAAGAAAAATAGAAAGAAAAACTCTTATTTGTCCGTAATTGGAACGAGTGCCGTTTTGTGTTATATAAAAAAATTGAAGAAACGGAAAGTTACATGAAGAAAAATTTGCCTGTTATTTAAACAGTTACAGGAAATAGTGGGTGATCGATTAGGAGTGCTTATTAATGTTTAATGAGAGAATGGTGTTTCTCATAGCCAAAAGAAAAGAGTTTATTTTAAAAATAGAAAAACTTAAACCATCTGCTTTCCGAGTAATATGAGAAATATTTATGTTTCCCATTATAGTAATACATAGCTTCAAAATATTTTTATTGATTTTTGTTTCTTTTATAACAATCGATAAATTTTAATCAACGCTTTTTTTTTCTCAAATATTTGTTCGGTTTTATTATTCTACAATGTTTGTCAATGTATCAAGCGAGAGTTTCATACGGTTGATCGATGCGCGGAATTCACAAACAAAAATCGAATTACGGCATTGTTTAGAAATTCTGAACTATAAAAAGAAAGTTCCCAATTTTGGAAAATCTTCAAAATCGATTAACCAAATTTCTTTTGAGTCAAAGAAATGCATGCGAGCTCTTCATGAAACAAAAGATCCTATTTATTGTCTATAGAAGAAAATTTTCGACAAAGTCAAAATGTTAAAATTTTCCTAGAATGATTGTCAATAAAGCGCACTGATCAATATTGTATAGAATAGCAAAAACGACGACATTAGTGGGAAAAGAAAAGCACGCAACTAGTGTCAACATTCAAGATATTGATTTTTCCTTCATTAATGAAAAGTAAAATGTATCGACGAACACAACCGTCGGTATTCTATATTCTGATAAACGATTCAATAAAAGAATGATCAAAATTCTTATATATTTAGCTTGAAAATCATAGATTATGAATGTGCGCACTACTTAGACAACAATATGAATGAAATGAACAATAAAAAGTCATGTCAGCATTGCCAGTACATTAGAGGTCTCTAGAGACACATGGACTAGCGCAGTTTATCACTTATATTGAGGCCTTTGTGATCTAATAGAACATTCTATTGAATATAATGTCATTTATTTATCGATTAGATGGCAAGTGTCCGATTGTTTTTTCGACGTAATAGCGATTTGCGATAATATACTATGTGTGTAGATATCATTATTTTTACATCATTCTATACTCACATATGGCTACACTTCAGTCCACATCATGCACAAAAAGAAACTATTTTGCTATCTTTCAATAAATTTTTACGCACTAGAACTGAACTTATGCCTATTCGTCATGACATACTGTTTATTCATTCAGCTAATGTTTGTTATGATAGTTATTATCCAACATGTAACAAGAAAGAGAATGTGTTTTTTATACATTCCTTCTGGCGTGTCAATCAAAAAATCTAACGAATAAATATTTAGTAATAATAGTACAAACATATCACAAAAACTTATTTATTGAATTCATGCTTGATTAAACATCGAATTAGTTTTGGTCGCAATATGCTTGATATGAGCCTGAAGAAATTAGTAAAAATAATTACACTTTTCAATAAGTATATCAATCGATATAATGAAAACGATTGTTTCGTCAAATCATATCAATGTACCCACCTTCAAATGATGTGCGAAATAGACGTTGCATTCAAACAAAACACAAACATTTCCTTCGATTCATGATGACTTCTCTACTCCTTCTATTAATATTGATTTAGATGGCGATAAAACAAGTGAACAATCAAAAACACACCCCGCAAACGCTCATTCGCTCATCTTGTGACTTGAAAACGACGAGTAAAAAGTCACGGATCTTTGTTTTTCCTCAAATAATTAAAATCATCGAAAAACGTACGAATGAATACAGTAGAGAATTATAATGATGTTTTTTTTTCCATCACATATTAGTTTTGTTTTGGAATTTTTAATTATCCCGTTTTCGTTCATAAATGAATCGATTTGTTTGAAAAAAATCGAACAGAAAACTTTGTCATGGAACAAAAAAAGAAAGTGATCAACAATGTTCACTAGAAAGTTAATAAACATTAAAAAATAAAAATAAACGACAGCAGGAACTATACAACAGCCGAAGGTGTTTTTATGGAGACAAAGAGAAAAAATTACAAATTAATAATGGTATACATATTATCCTCCATTTGTTTGACTGGAATATTTATACTAAAAATACGAAAACCAATAGATTTTGTATATAAAAAAACAAACAACACAACAAACCATCTGTTCTTGCAATAATTTGATTGTTTGCTTATCTTGTTCTTTTTCTTTACGTAATGACATTATTTCCTTAAAGAAAATTATTTTTTGTATTATGTTAGACAATGATTGATTTTATTTTGCTCTTTCTCATACTTTTAGTAAATCATCATACGTAGAATTTTCATCAATTGAATTCAGAAGACTTCCATCGTTCTGACTTGTTGAATAACGCCTTGAGCTAAACATATGATCGTGATGTTCATGAAACGAGCCAATCATTGAATCCTAAACAAATACTTTTGTTTTGTTTAACTAATACTCTTCAAATAAAACTCACTGTCATATTAGCACCATCGGAATGTTTAAGTAGTCGATCAAGCTGATGAAGAATTGTTTTAACAACCATAACATCTTTCATCACTTGCCGATAAGATTCAATGTCCATGCTTATTTGTTCAGCATCTTCAAGCGGTGGTAAATAACTGGGTGGTGGCTTTAATGAAACTGAACGTGTCATTAATCTTCTACAAATAATTCATGTTGATTAGTAACAATGAGTATAGGTAATTTTTCTTACCGATTCTGTTCATTGTCAATATTATGATCCATTCGATTACTTAATCGAGTTAATTCGTCAAGTGTTTCACGTAAACTAGAATTCGATTTATCATTCGTTGTTGCTGTTGAGCATTTGGCTATAGTAGCTGAACGATGCTCTTTCGTTTGAGGTAGTTGTTGTTGATGAAGAGGAGCATTTGGCTTCGTTGAAGCATGAGCTATTACTGTAGTCGATTGTTTATTTGATCCAATTGATAATGAAGCTAATGAATTTGAATCGGTTTGGTCACTTAAGCAGAGGAGAAAAAAATTGTTACAATGAAGTATTTTTTATCAAAATAAATCAGCCAATGGCCTCAGTAAATATGATTAGTGTACGGCAAAAAGTAACACAAAAGAATCAAATAATCATGCAAAACATATACAAAAGAAAGTATTGTTTGCATTTTTTTAAAAACAGATTCAAGTACATAATAAATTCCAAGAGAGGGAAAGAAAATGACTCAGTATGTCTTACTTTTTACTTGAAGAATCGATTGTCAATGTATCATCATAGTCACACATTAAATCTTCTGACTTGAGGCTACAATTATCATCTTCGAGTAGCGTATCTTGGTTAAGTACATCCGATATCGCTGATGCAGAAGATAGCATGCTAACAGCTCGTTGTCTGTGTTTATTGCTTTGAGAGAGATGTGCAGATGGAGGTTGATTGGAAGAATTTTTCATATTTGAACTAGTCGAATCATTATGAGATGAAGGTTTTTCTGAAGGTCTCATTACTTTTAAATCATTGGTCTGTTAAAAAATGAAAAAAAGATATGGTATCTTTTTGTTTTTGTTTTTTTGATAAAAATTATCTTCTTTTATTTTTACCATCGCATTTCTAGGTGATAATCGTTTATTCTCGTTGTTAATCGCCAATGTTTCGGGTGATTTAATTGAACTAGCTATGGGTGAACCATTAGCTGTCGATAATGGAGTATGACGGGTAAAGAAATTCATACGCTGTTGCTTTCGATAACGATCACGTATAGCATTAACATCAGTTTTTATTGTTGCCGTTGTGTGAGCTGCTGTTGCTGATGGAGCAGACGAAGGAGGAGGGTGTAGTGGTGGAGAAGCAATAGATGATGATGAAGATGTAGCAGAAGTTCGTGATGGTGTCCTTGAACGCATACGACTAGCTGCTGTTGGAGTTTGAATAGTTGATTTGACGTTTGATTTCGATGTTGATGAATCTGCATGACGAGGGGATCTTGTTTTTGTAGATTTTGAAGTATTATTTGTTGTTATTGTTGACGATGTTGGAGTAGTTAGATTTGCGGCTGGTATTGCTTTCGATGTCGTTTGGACTTTAGCTAAACGTTGAGAAGCAATCGATGATGATGAAGATGAATTACCACTGAAATTTGATGTTGGACTAATTGAACGACTACGAGCTGCAAATGTCGTTGACCGATTTGGTTGTAAACCAGGTACAGCTGGTCTTGGTATAAAACCAAAACGTGTTTGCATTGCAGTTGGTGGTGGTGGACGATTGGTAATTGACATTGGTTTTTTAGAGCCTTAAAAAAAATTCGAAATAATAAGCATAACTATCGGTACAAGAAAAAAAAAGTAGTTAAAATCAAATGCGCCAAGAAAAAGTGTCGATTCGATAAACTTTAACATTTTTGTTCGTCGCCTGTCGATCTTGTTTTCTTTCTGTTTTTCTTTTTGGTGTCTACAGACTTTTTTTGTCACCATTATTCGATGAGGAAGCAAGGTAGAAAAAGAAAGCGAGTGAGCGAAGAGTAAAGCGAAAAAAAAACACCATAGAAAAAGTGGTTGTTGTTGTTCGCGATTGAAAGAAGCAGAATCAATTTTTTCTTCTCTCTCTCTCTCTCTCAATGATTCATATATAAGCACCCACGGGGCCACTCAGCTTAATATACATAAACAGTGACTTTTTTTTTTCTTTCTTTCTTTCTCTAAGTAGAGAAAATAGAGAATGACCTGTACGATGAATATGAATGGCATAGGTGTACAACTATTCGATTCAGATAATTATTCATAGATACGCAGAAAGAATACTATAAAAAAACAATCATAGTATCGTTCATACTTATGTCCAGCTGCCAGACAATAGCCACTGAAGAATAGGAATAGATCAACACTTAGACAGAGCACGAGAAAGAGAGAGAGAGAGAGAGAGAAAGTAGAAGAAAAAGAGAAAGAAAGAAAAGAAATATATGGAAATATGAGACACTAAACAGATTCGTCTCAGTAATCTTAACAAGATGCCTGTGGTATTGATAACATATGCATATATATATAAGAGAAAGATATAACGGTCCAATGAAAGTATATCAGAGAATATTTACAATTTTTTCTTTGCATACCTGTTTCATTAGTTGAAGTAACTGTTGATGCCACATTTCTCGATTGTACAATTACATTTGCTTGTTGCGATGATGGCAGATAATGAACAGGTAGTCGAGTTTTGGGCACAGGAATTCGAGGCGGAGCCTGCCTTACAGTCGATGCTGATGACGACATCCAATCGATTATACTACAACTATTACTATTACTATAGTTGTTGTTGTTGTTGTTGTTGTTGTTAATATTAGTATTACACGAATATAAGTGTATCAAACTATTTGTATCTGCCTGATGAAAGATAGGTTTAGTCAATGATGATGATACAATATCAAAATCTTTAGATAAATAATGAGAATGTTGACGTTGCTGATTTGGAAATGAAATCGTTGGTAATGGTGGTAATGGTGGAGGTGATTTAAGACCAAGGACAATAGTATTCTTTGATGTTGCTCGATTATGCTGTTGCTGCTTCTGACAATGTCTTACTGTTGACGTGCAAGTTCCCATCGTCGAGCTATAAAAACATCAGAAGGAGCGAGAGAGAAGAAAAAAGAGAAAAGAGCAAAGAAAGAATAATAGTAACAGCCGTTATACTAATTTACAATGGAATATAATGGTTCTTCAATATAGAACAGAAATTATCAATAAATTTTATATTTCATATTGTAACAAGAATTTTTGGTTTCACGCATGTACTTTGATTAACTATAGATGTAAAAACATGTTTGCTAGCCGATAGGTATAATGACAGTAAAGAACATTGATAATCTTAATATAGCGATCGGCTTCATTTAATTTTCTCATGTACACATGTATTCAACACATAATAAGGCGGGAGAAAGAAAGCATGTATAAATAGGTGTATCATTTTTCACGTGATATCCACGATGAATAGTATATCTTATACGAGCTATTGAAATTCGAATTTCGATTCATTAACAGTCCAATTTTCATCCACTATTCATACATACTTAAATCTCTTCATTATTAGAAGAGAGAAAAAAAATTGTTCACTATATTGGCGCATAAAGAAAAAAGAAAGCCCCAGAGAAAATGAAGAGCCGTCACCTTTACTTCTCCCATCGTTGAGTCTCTTGTAATTGAAACTCTTCTCTGTCAACAGAAAAGAAGAAGAAGAAGAAGAAGAAGAAGAAGAACAAGCATTGCTTGCATGATGATGTACATTATAATTCAGCACACAAGCAATTTTTTCTTTATATTTAAATGTGGAGTCAGCCTCGCACTTTTGTTTTGCGAAATAGCTACTTGAAAAGTTGAAGCAATAAAAATGCAATAACCTTAAGTAATATTCAAAGACTAGCTAATACCTTGTTTTCTGTGATACCAAACATTTTAGTTGTTGTTGTCGTTGTTGCTTTTCTTATCGTAAAAGATATATCTATGCGAGACAAGCACGATATGTGCAAGCGTATATATATATATATAAACAAACGACAAATATATCACGCATATGATACAAGCAAATAAATCATACTACTAGGAAAGAAATGCAGAAAAATCAAAACATATCGATGCGTCGTAAGGCAGGCAAAACAAACGAACTTTCAGCATGCTTCGATATGTTTTCTTTCCTTTACCATTTAGTTTGAATTAAAAACGAACACGAAAGGAAGAAAAGTAATCAAATGAAGAAGCGTGATATAGAAACATCATTATCATCATGATGACATCATGCGACAACGAAGTCAGACCGAAGAAGAGAAAAAGTATTCTTGCATAATCGTAGTTAAAGGTTAGTAGCTCATCGGATAGATATCTCAATCATCCTTGAGTAATGACTAATCGCTGAATTAGTCTCTTTTAAACAACGATATAATTAGATAACCTTCTTTACAAGGAGTAGATTTATCAATAGAATTATGATCGTGTTATAAAATTTGTCAAACTTATTAGACTTCTCGGAGTTTGTCTGCTATACTCTTACCTATATATTTTTAGCTGTTAAAATCTTGAAAAATAACGAAAACACTTTCATCGACGCATACAAAATAACTCGCTCATGAATAAAAATAAATAGCCTTGCTTTTCAATATAGAGAAACTGTAGAAGTTAGATTAAAGTGAAGCAAAGAAAAACAAGTTAAATTCGGCTTGAAAAAAAATCATCAATAGAATGATGTGAACTTACCTATGTAAAGTCTTTCGAATATAATAATGTTTAACTAAGAATTGAGCGGATTATTCATAACACGCCGACTTCGATCAGAAAGAATAACAAGAATAAAATAGAATAAAACAGAAAAGATCGTTGTCAGTGATCAATCAAACGATACCAGGATCAATGTTTGGCTCGTGTTCATTGATAGCAATGTGTTGAAATGTCTGTCTGTTTGCATAGTGCTCATATATAGACATATCAATGAATACCATCGAATGAGTAAATATCTGCCCGCAAGGCAGTATTCAATTTCATTTCAATATATAGGGGCAGTACCGATGAGAGCAAATTGCAACATACGAAACAACAAAGAAAATGACGAAACATTCATTGTAATAGTAATTTTGACTGCATACGTGATGAGACGATTCATGCATAAATAAAGAAAATGAGCATAAAGATAAGTATATGTATATATGTATTAACAAAAAAAAATAGAAATCGAATAAACATAAAATGGGTGAGTATTTTGATGGTTGCTCGTATTGAAGATAATTGAAGATGAAAGCGAATATGAAATGATAGACATACGTCATGCATGTAACGTTTGAATCAGTAGAAATACGTCTAAATCTATCATTTGTTATATGTATATATATATATCATAGAAGCTTAATCAAAGTTTTTTATTAATCAAAAAATCTCAAGAAGAAAAAAATCATACATATATGTTTATCAATCAATTATAAAAAAGAAACAATTCTAAAGTTCTGTATTTAATTTCGATTCAGGTATATGACCAAGTTGATTGTTTACAATAAGATGAAAATAAAAATTTAGTCCTCGTTGAACATCAAGATGTGTCATACGCTCATTGTCGCCGTGAAGACGATCTAAATCATCATGATGATAGATAAATGGAGAAAATCGATATAGGTTTTTTGATAAATTCGTATAGGATCTACTGTCTGTTGCTCCTAACATTAAACCAGGTACGACAATAATTGGTTGACGATCTTTGTCAAATGTTTGACGTATTGTTTGTTCAATAATGCGATAGGAATAAACATCTTTTCCGTAAGGTGATGAAGGCGAAGGTTCAACACAATTCTTCACACGCGGAACAATACGATCATCATTGATAATACGACGATTATTTTCGAGAATTTTTTGACACGAATCAGCTGTATGAATTCGATCTAAAAGTAGAAAATTGAATTTTTTTAACAAGAAAACATTCTTCTTCTTACGATTAATAGTGGCCGATGCTGATGTTGGTAAAATATTTTCTTTTTCCCCACCTGAAATAAGTGTTACTGCTGATGTTGTACGTTGTAAAGCATTTGTTCCTGGTTTTTGAGCTAATGCCAATTGAATCAAATAACCAAACAACCAAATATTACTCAGAGCAAGTCGTAATGGAAATTTTAAATACGGTGTGATACTATGTAAAAGACTTATTTCAGGTCCACGACCAAATTGTGATGGTTGTAATGTACTTTCAAGTTTATCAACAGCACGCGCCAATATACCAATCGCTGTTGGTGCTGTTGGCATACTTGAATGGCCAGGCGGAAGACTAATACTATATTCAATAGTCATATAGCCTTTTTCAGCCACACCAATTATTGCAATAGGATTATGTAGAGTTGGAAATGCTTCTTCAAGAATAATTGTTCCTTCGTCAAGTACAAATTCAAATTGGCCATCATGACCAAAAGGTTGTTTTGAAAGATATTTAGCAATACCCATAGCACCTGCTCTGCCAACTTCTTCATCATGAGTGAGACCAATGTAAAATGTTCGAGATGGTTGACCGTGCACATTTAAATACTCCTATTGATACAAAGAAAGATGATATATAATATTTTAAAAATAAATAGAAAATTCAATTCAAAAAAATATATGAGCTGAGCACTGGGTTGTTTTCTCTTTAAAAACACGACACATAAATTAAATTTTCATACAATTAGTAGCATTTTTTTCAACATAATACCTTAAGAGCTTCCATCATAGTAAAAACACTTCCTCTAAAATTATTTATCAAAAAAATGGATGCCTCTAAAACCTATTCACCGAAATATTACTTGTCATCCAATGTACCACGAGCATAAATAAATTGTCCATCTGAATGACCATCGAACGGTGGATATTTCCAACGGCTTAAGTTTCCCGTAGGTACAACATCGAAATGTGCAGATAGAAGAAATGGTTTTAAATTCGAATTTTTTCCTCGAATCTCATATAATAATGAATATTCTGCGATATCATGTAGTTGAACAAATTTCGAATATTTTGTTATTAAATCATCATAATGTTGTTTGATAAAATTTCGGCAGCGTTTCAACTCAGTAAAATTTTGATTATTTTCTTCATAGGATATTGTTTGAAATTGAAGTAACGTTTGAAAAGTTCGCAGACGTTGTTCATGGAATTCTAACGAATGATTATCGTTTGTCGATGAACACGGTTCAAATATGGTTTTATCCGGTGTAAATACGACATATGCACGATAAAGAAGAATTAATATAAATATAAATAGTGTAATTACGAATTTTTTCCAAAACATATCTGCAATAAACAGAGATTTATTGATTTTTTTTTTCGTAAGGCTAAGATCGTTGTTTTTGTTTGGACATGAAGAAATTAAATAAATATAATTTTTTCAAATAAAATACACGTTTGAATTTTTCATCTTTGTAAATGTACAAAGATTTAATATGTGGCTGATTGGAATTCCTCGAGTCTATGTTCTTTGTTGTTCTATTATATAGTATTTTCATGGATAGAAATATATTTTTTTTTCATGCCATCCCTTCTGTCTTCTATACTGTCAATATTCACGAAAAATACTTAGAGTAAGACCATAGAATACAAGTATGCAATAACAAACATAAATTTTATATAATTTCTTTGGTCAGGTTAATTTTAATTCATGTCAATTCAGCTTTTTTTAGAAGAACTACAAGGACACCATTAAAACAAAATGTTTCCTACAGCTATCCACGACTTCATCCTGTTGCATCGAGCTTTTATTTTTTTTCTACTATTAGATTTCATAAAACACAAACGATTAATGTGCACATAGAATTGGTCGCACGAAAGATTTCTTTCGGCTAAACTGTAGACTGAAGGAAGAGTAAAACGAAAAGATTGACAACCATGAAAGCCGATGACGATGCATGCATGCATGCATGCATGTGTATATATCTACAGAAAAAAAAAAATTTCATAGGTTGCCTGCATGTAACAGAGGTGAAATGAATTGAAAAGAATACAACGCAAAAAGAAAAAAAGAAAAAAGGCTACACAAGATTTTTCTTCCTTTACTCTTATATTAGTTGATTCATGAACAGAAAAGGAACAGAAAAAAAATTATTTCAAAGCAATTTCTTCTTATGCGTTGATGCTACAATAACAATGTAAAAGTAAGAAAATGTGGTAGTTACGCATCAATAATTTTACTTTTTGACGTCATATTGTAGATTTTTTTATTCAGTTCACGCCCGAGAATATTGTTAGCATAATGAGAGCCTTCGAAATTAAATGGTTTATGGGATTAAAAACAAAAGCAATCATCATACGACAATATTTTTCTTTCTTTTTCTTTACTTCTTACAATTAAACATGATTTCAACTCTTCACTTTTACCGAACATAAATAGAAAATCTTTTGTTATTTTAGTTGACGAATTTTTCTACTAGAGAAGCTTAGATATTGATACATATTCAAATAATATTTCTATTTTATATTATTTTGTTTATGATTGATTTTTTTCTTCTTTAGTTATGCGAAGGAACTTCAACTTCATCTCTGATCAATTCCTCTAGTCTAGCATCGATTATTCAATTCTAATGGTGAGATATGTAACAATGAAACGTATCACACAAATTCTTGCCTCAATCGTATTTGTCATAACAGTTGTAACTGTTTATCTCGCATTCGACTTTGCAATCAACAGTGCTATGGGAAGCAAAACTCCCTTCAACAAACGTTTTCGTCATGAACAATATCATCATAATATTCATGCTCGCGATAATGCAGAACAAGATCATGATGATGAACACAATAATGATAACACCCATGGTGATCCAAGTGATGATATTAAAATAACAAAAAAACGTTCGATATTTTTATCGACTTCCCCTCGTACAAAAAAATCTAATCGGACAGTAAAACATCAAAATGAACATCAGCAGCATCTTTCAAATAACAATCGTCATACAAATAGCACTAAAAGAAAACCCGTTGTGGCTCCACTTCATGCAAAACCTGGTAATTTTCATAAAGGTAAAACAGGTGTTAAAGTCAACAAACCACAAAAAGCGGCTAAATCACAACAAAAAGGTCCCACGAAAATGAAGGCAGCCGTTCAACAAAGAAATAAACATTACATAGATGATAAAAACATTGCCTAGTTTTCTAGTTTAATCGAATAAATGAAATAAAGAGACAACAAAAATACATGTATCGAAACCCTTGCTTTATTGAATGTCTAATATGAGTGACGGAAAACAGAAAAACAAAACAAAGAAACAATAGACCACTCAAACCCGAACTGGATCTGCTTTCCAAATGAAACAAAAGACGATGATAAAATGTGTCTGTTTTTATTCTTTTTTATCATCATGACTTTCAGAAATACTCGTAGCTTCCAATTTGGATGTTGCTTCGGCAGCATTACTGTCAACCGATGGTCCAGCGAATTCATCTTCAGCATGATTTGTACGTGTTTCAGCTAAGTGACTAAAGCGTTTAATAACTTCATCGATAGTGAATTCGCCATGTTGTTTATTGTCACGTGTACGAATATTAATTGTTCCGTTGGCTTGTTCTGCTTGGCCAACAACTAAAACCAAGACAAACAAAAAGGACTAATAAGAATAACTACTTTAGATTGTATCGAATATTACCGNCTTTTTTTGATATTTTTGAGACTGAAATAGTTTTGCCTATCAATAAAAATATTGCCCAAATTGCCCATATCTTTTTTTATACACAACACAAGTTTGCCCATAACGCTAAAAATCCTGTATACGCCATTGCATGTACCTGATTGATAAAATTTATTTTCTGCTAGTATTGCGTAGGAATGAAAAAGAAAAAATAACTTCTTCGGTTTTACTTATATCATTATGAGAAGTTACTATACCCATGTAATGAAAACCGCATGAAAATCGACGGTTTTACCGGTCAGGTTACCGGCTCCCATTACCGCAGGAAGGATAAATACCGCGGTTCACCGCAAGAAATGACCCGGTATTCGCAACATGGGTATTCATAAGTATCGATTCTCATTGGAGTTCTTGTAGAATTTTTTTGAGTATAATTGCTGTTCAGTTCATTGAATACTGATTCGACGTTTAACATGAACGTTAGACATTTGATTTTCATAATACCAGTTAGTTCTCGTCTCATCAGTATTACAGATGAAAAAGCTATTATTTCAAGAATAAGATACAATTCGTATTGTCGACAAACACAAATACTTCTTTGAGCGATAGGCTATTTAAGAAAACAAGAATCATTATATGGTTTGACGAAGAAAAATTCAGGCATGCGTGGTACATCAAAATACCGATATAAAGGATTGCTATGAGGTAATGTCAAACACCAAGGTCTGGAGCCCTGCGGTTCCACTTTGTTTGGAACCGAAAACCGAATCGGATCCAAAAAATTTCACCTTCTCAAATCAGGAATCGGAACCGGAATCGCTGGAACCGTATATTTTTTATAATGATAACTATAGTCATCTATATTTAGTCATCCTTAGATGATGTTTTTAAGGAGAAATATTTAATCGACTCGCTGCGTAAAATGCTCCTAGGAAGTGTAAATAAAGACACAAATAACTTAGTGGTTATACATATAGACAAATTAAAGAACTACTTATTATTTTCGAAATTTGCTTTTGTAGATTTTGTGTGCTGATATAAAACTCCAGATAAATGCGAAATCGTTCAGCAAATGTTCTTTCATGTACGAAAAATTGTATCTCATACCAGACGAACACATAAACAAACAAAATTATCTCGTAAACTTCAATCATATTCTGATACCCGATTCAATGGTGCATTTTTAACAATGAATGTTTTCTTATTAGTGTTCGATGAATTACCTGGTGTTTCCCTTAAATCGAACTCTTATGAATGATTATGAATCAATAGATAAGGATTTACTCTCATATATTTGCTCATTCCTCAAACCATTTGAGGAAGTAATTGAACAATTGAGTTCAGATACAAAACCAACAATATATAAAGTGTTGCCCTTCAAACAATATTTATTAAATCAATGTAAATTTCATTCTGATGATCATGATGGAATTCAACAGATCAAAATATTTTTAGGTATTATATTAATCTAAAAGATTCAGATGTTTTCTACACTTATTTATGCAATTAAGAATATACGGAACATTCAGGGGGTCATTTTAGTGTAATAGGAGACGAATAAATAGAGTTTATAGTTTATACTAATTACTGAGTTATCTTATATTATAAAAGATGTAAGCGCACTTTGAAATATATCTGGTAATAAAGCTTCTATGGTTTTTTCTTAAAATATTCGATGTTTTTGTTTAGAAAAACGTATTCAAAATGTTTGGATCTTGAACGATGTTCACTTCATTACTACGTTATTACATCCTTCATTCAAAAATTTTGACTATCAGTCCTGATTTACATGGAAAAGCTACTGATTTGACAAAGAAAGAACTATTGAAGCGTCATCTATCAGCATCATCTATCACCTGTACAACAAATATGAAATCACATATGTCCGTTAAGCTGAACTTAATTTTCAATCTACAAATCCGAAAAGTCTTCTTTCACAATGTTTTGATGTACCAAAAAATGACTTGAAATTATCGATAACACCTTATGATGAATTAGAAGAATATATGGTGCTCAACGTTCAATTAAATGAAAACGATCATGTTTTGTTATTTTGGTTACAACATAAATTGAAATTTCCAATGCTATTTACTATGGTACGAGATTTTTATGCTATACCGGCATCAAATACAATCATTGAGCGACTGTTTTCATCATCAAAGAATACAGTTACGGATAAACGTACTACTCTTGGAGCAGAAAAAGTAAACAAGTTACTATTCTTACAGAAAAATTTGAGTTTACTGAAAAACATTTCTAAACCACCAGTAGTTACGAAGCTGCTTCAACTGAAACGAAACGAAAGATGAACTTTGAGTCATCTTGCAGCACGCCATGTGATGATCAAGAACAATTAGCAACTGCAACAGTAAAAAAGAAGCCAAAGGTGAACAAAGAAAATGACATTCTTTGTTCAGAAGCTGATAGAGAAAATGGTGAAATAGATTGCTTTTAAAACTTATTTAGTTTGGTATTAAGTCCAGATGAACATTTCATATTATATGGATATTTTTATGTTATTTTTTCTTTTTCTTGTATCCTTTGAAGAAATTGTTCTTCTATAAAAATTGACATGAACAATAAATAAAAACGATATACAGAAATTTCTCAAAAAAAAAAGATATACTAATTCTTACTCAATGCGTCACCAGAACAACGGTTCCGAACCACAAGATCGGATCCGGATTCGGAACTGTTTTATCTCAACTTTGATAACAAGAACCGGACTCGGACTGGCGGTTCCGGTTCCGGTTCCGGTTCCGGATCCGGATCCGGATCCGGGTAATTTTTGGAACCCGCAGCAAGGTCAATGCAATTTGTTGTTTACTATGAATTAGTTGCTGATTGATAACATTCAATGACGTCTTATCAAATATAAATACTGTCATCGATGGGTTTCAATAATTTGTTGAGAGCTTCAATTGAAACCGGACATTAGAATATTTATGATGAGAACAATAGAGAATCGAAATCCTATTATAGTCTTCGCACACAATATGTATGATACTAAAAGAATTAATATTTGTTCGTACTATTTCAATATCTATCCAAAGATAATCTCAAGTGATAGATAATCAGAAGAGAACACTTAATTACAATTAAACATGCACTAGTTTTACTAACTTGTTGAACTAACAATCGATTTGATATTAACTGCTATGGTTCAGTAACCAATAGTAACAAATATATATGTTAGCAGGGAAATGAAGACAATTTGAGCCGTATCTCTTTTAAAATTCATCAATTAGAACATTATTGAATGCTATGCCGATGGAAATATAATGATATGTAAGCACAATATTTTTACAAAGGAAACATACCAATATAATTCCTTGAGTACAATGTCCAACAAGAATTTATCTCAATAATAAGAAAAATATTTTCTATTTCCTATTGATATAAATGCAATGCCATCTTTTCTCAATCTCTAGAGACAAAACAAAACAATACACAATAGAGACATTTAATCATTTGATAAAATAACATGAAATTTCTTATTCAGAGAAACAAACAGTTGATAGGACAGTAGTTGGCATTTTTGATGATAAATAACTATATTTAGAAAGCTAGTTTTTCTACGTGACATATTACAAAAAAGTAATCGATCTAATTTAATAAATTTCAGCTAGATTTTTGTTTGTCAGAAAACACATAGAAAATTAGTTAGTGTAGTTGAAGTTTGTTCTAAAAATAAACAGTATATAAATAATGAAGATGATAATTCTTTCAATAAATAACTACTCAATTTTCGATGCACTCTATGGCGAAAACTTATGTTCTACCTTGAACGTAACGATCTAGTTAATCGATTAATTAGCTATATCTACATGTTGTAGGCTTTTTTCTTTTCAAAAGCTTTCATTTTTACCAGCCAATATTATTGTGACAATCAACTGTTACTGAATTTGCTTTTACCAAAACTTCTTTTCTATCTTCAGTAGTGAATTTCAATTATCTTCACAGAACTACAAGATCGTCGAATCTATAAATATTAAAACATATACGTCTTATTAAATATAGCTCTTCAAGTCAATCGTTTTTATTTGTATAATTTAGAAATGTTATTGCTTATAATTATGTATTTTATTAAGTTTTTGACTGATACAATGATTCATGATGAGAGTCAATTTGCTATGAAAATAAATCTCAAGGGAATAGTTGTTTTTTGTTTTCCTTATAGTGATGATATATAATAGAATCGTATTTATATGCATATATTTATCTTTACATATAATCTTCGAGCAAATATACAAAAAAGAAAGGAACCAAGAAAAAAAGAATGAAAAAAAAACAGAACATACATAAGCAGAAAACAATCATAAAAACCAGCATCTTATATGATAGAATCATTAACAAGCTGCCATCTCCTGTCGAACAGTACTCCATTTTTATCATGCTTTGACACACATAATTTTGAGATGATTGACATTGTCATATATCAGCGGGTGGTGGTGGTGTTGCTGTTGAAGCTTCATATCCACCAGTAGTACTAGCAGCTTGTGTAGCATAGAATGAAGCTGATTTATTTTGTTCATTTCTATGATTATGACGACGTGACAGTACTGTTGATACATAAACGAGAAGCCAAACTGTAATAATTAAAGATATTAAAGTAACGTAAGGCCATATAGCATAGTGAACTGTAAAGGGACTCTTGCTATTAATAATTAAAGGTGGTGAATTATTATGATTTGTTACCGAGAAATCCTATTGAATAAATATAAATAATGAATAGTAAACGATGATATTATTTTTTTAAATAATCGCCTTATTTTTACCTTTGGCAAAGAAACAGGGTTAGTTTCAGTGGTTATCATAACGGCTGCGATGTCTTATGTCCATCAACGAAGAAATTATCAATACTTTTGTTACTAACCTAGAGTATACTTATATATATATGTATATATATATATATATATATATTCCTAGAATTCTTTTCTCTTCTCTTTTACATACGATTTAGCTAGTGTCTTTTCTATATCTCTTTTTTCTTTCATCAAGTTTTCTTTTATTACTTGTTACAATGAGATGAAATCCGTTCAGCAAATAGGTCGTTCTTATATAAAGATTTGTTTTTCTTGCTTTTTTTTTGTTTTTTGTTTTGATCATAGAGGAAGAAATATAAAACGATTACTAGTATTTAGAACTTTTTCTGAAAATATTTTCAAAGCTTGAAATATACGTATGTTTAATGCATCGAAACCATTGGTTTGAAACGTATGAACAATTGATCAATACATGATTGTTCCGGAAAAGAATGGAATTTGGCAATACTGATTATAGAAAATAAGATTGTTGACTTGATTTAAATTTACGAATACCGAATAAATAGTAATTAAACAAACACTTGACTATTGTAATAAGATGATTGGTATTCGTTTGACCTTCAACAGTGAAAACAAAACAGACGAAATTTAGCCATTAATATCAATTATTGCTGATTAAGGATTAGTGATGCTTAAGTATGCATTATTGAAATTGTTTTTGATTTCTTATTTTTAGACTTTGAAAAACAAAAAAATAATGGATCCTTAATAACACACGCATGCAAATATGATTTATGGAAAAATCAAAATAATAAAGTTATTATAGATTCATGTTCTTAGTTTTTCTTCAATTCGAATTGATTTTACTTTGAATCCAACTAAGATAAGCACTTGTACGTGTATAAACACCTGGATAGTTTGGAAGAGCGCAATCAGCTCCGAAGCTAACTATTCCTGATAGATACCATTGTCCATTGGTATTGTACATCAAAGGGCCACCACTATCACCTTGACAACTATCTTTACCACCTGAGTATGGTATGCCTGCACCAATTTGTCGTTGAACATTAAAACTACTTGAGTAAGCTGCACTGGCTTGATTATTTGTAACTTTTACTGAGACTTGCCGTAAAGTAGTTGCTAATGGACTATTTTTAAATGTAGTACCCCAGCCAGCTACGGTTACTGTTGCTGATTCTTGTGGATCAGGTCCAGGTAAGCAAATCAAACGAACGTATTCATTCAATTGAACTGGTTGAGCTAGACGAATAATAGCAATATCATGTGCTTGGGAAACTGAATTGTACTGTTCATGCATAAATATACGCGATACTCCTATATTTTGTGTGCGTCCAGTATTTTGATTTTGTCTTTGATGTAAACCAGCGACTATACGAAGTTGACTGCTACTTACCGATGGTAAACAATGAGCAGCTGTGAGTACGTGACGTGTATCAATCAAAGTACCACCACAAAAATGATCACGTATTTGTAAAGAAACAATCCATGGCCATGAATGAGGAACCGCTTCGACACCGCCTACAATACGTTGAGTTGATGGAGTGATCGATTGACGGCCACAAGTGTTAGCTGTTGGCACAGATGGTGACGTTGTTAGTAATATCTGTCCGATAGCTGTCTTTGGACAACAATAACGTACTCTATAATCAGCACATAATTTTTGTTTGTATGCATCGATCTGTTGATTTAAACATAATAAACCATCTTTAACACTGAGACGAAATACATCACCGCTTTGAACTGGTGATCCACCACTTGTAGTTTGACTCTAATACATTAAAAGTATCATATTTGATTTCTAATTGGAGAAAAAAAAGTAAGAAATTCATATTTACTTCGATAGCAACTGGTACTGGACACATGAATAGAGGAAAGTTTTGTTGAATATGACTAGTAATTTCAAATTCACCTTGTGTTAAATTAGGATCATTTGAGTCAAACCAAACTGTCCATTGATTATTGTCTGAACATGTAGATTCTGTAAATGTCGCAGGATCATATACACCTTGACTGTACACACCAATGCTCAATTGAAGTAACAATATAGCAATCATAAACATGCTGACGAAAATAGGAGTGTCTATGAAGGAAATTTGCAGGTAACGTTCTTCATCAAAATAAAAAAATACGTAAAATATATGTAGTGAAATCGGATATGAAATCCAATAAGAAATATTTATTCATTGTAATCGATTAAAAATATTATGAAAAATGATCCAAGGTTAATCGATTTATTTTAAAGTGCTTTTTAACGATGAATATTGCTATGTAATTCTAAACATCAGTTTTTATGTAGGTGGAGAAGAACAAAATATTGGAACAGCTGATATTTTTGGGGAAGAACTAATCCCTCGTAGAGAAATATCTAATGAAACCAGTTTGATTTTTGGCAGATAAAAATATATCTTTTAAGTAAAAGATGCAAAACAATATTTTATTCTATGTAGACTTGTCGTATTAGAATTCGTATGCCCCTTTTATACCAAAGATCTAAAGTTTAATATAATAATTTGTCTACATTTTTAATTCTAATTTCAAAACTACTGAGAAACAATTCTCAAATTCGATGAGTTCAGAAATTCAAATAATCAAACAATATTATCCTCTTTAGAAAAAAAGATGTTTTCAGTGATAGAATCATCTCGTACTGCGATCAGGAAGTTTCGAACCTGTACTGCACACAGTACATGTGCAAATAGTACGTATATGCATTACAATTAAAAATAATGCTAACTCAACGCTAGCACTTTGCAAATAATTAATTCTAACGCCAATAATGCTGAATTAATTATTTGTTTTAATGATGAATACTAATACACAAATATTAGTATTTTGTAAAATGCTAATACTAATATGACACAACATATTCAGTCCAATGAGTAATTGTGTAAAGAGACAGATATGACACTCTTATTTGGTCTAATGAGATCAAGTCATATTTTTAAACTGCTGAAATAAGTCGTCGGTTATTAAACCTTGTAAATGAACTTTCGAATAATTAATTATAAATTCTATCACTGAAATGATTTATAATAAATTACAAGAACATTGTATTTGATAACAATATTGATCGATGTAGAACACAATCAATTTATACAACTGATGTGAAATATAGATTGATTTGTATCTACGTAGAAGTGAATATGTATTTCGATGATCGTAATATTCTAACTACGAAACTATTACAAACGATTTATATGTAAATTTGAGTTAACAATAGAATTGATCAGCATCCCTTCAATTCAAAATCTCAAATCTAATGAGATTAAATGATGGAATGCAGTAGAAAAATACTGCACTAACAGTTAACATGATTAATATGTTTAGCACTATGAGAACTGGCAGGCATATTCCCATTCAATTATAAATTTATTTCTTTTCGTTTTATACAATTTGTAGTGTTTTCTTTGTAAATTTTCTTCTACTTACAGCAAAATAATGATATCGATCTTTCGTCTATATTTCTATACTTCTCACAATAGTCAGGAACGAAATATCTCTGGAGAAATGATGATAGGTCAAATTCAAATAATCAGAGAACTCTTAAAGTGTGCTTGTCAAAAATATAGATGATTAGCTAATACTACGTAGAATAAACTGATCTTAATATATATATATATACAAAAACACAATTAAATAAACAGATGTCTATGAAAAGATTGTATCAATGAAGAAGATTTGTGCAGCATCATTCTATCATAGATAAGACTCTTTGCTATTGTTCCAACTCTACATTGGTTAATTTCGCCTATGAGTAGAGTTGAATTAGGACTAGATGTGTGCCTGACTATTACTTGAATTGTTTTACTAAATTTTCTTCAAAGGAAGGGAGAGTGTGAATCCTGGAGTACGTATTCCATCTATTTTCCATCTGTACTATGAATTACTTTTGAGGTAGATAAAATCCCATTTTCCCCTATTGATTCTTTATCACTAATCGCTTTGTTATCTCTGCTTAGCTTATGTTTCATGTCTTACGTCAGGCTATTTGAAAAGTCATTTTTTTGGAAACATGTTTGAAGAATTTTCTACTCATAACATACTATGAAACAATGTTTTCGTTATGTATTCTCATGTGCTTTCTTACTTTACTGACGAAATATTTCCTATTCATTTTTTCGTCAAATTGCTTAGATGGTTCATTATCTTTTAACTTCTTGATACTTCATGTATTTTATTTTTCCTCGTTCTCTCTATCTTTTGTACAAACCTGAATACTTGTAAGATCCAAGTAGTCAATTGAATTACAAATAAAAACATGTAATACTACGAAGAATATATAAAGAGTAAGTCAGAGTAGAAAATCATTTAACTAAACCTTTACTTAATTCTATGATGGCATAAGATATTTTTAAATTCAATAATTTTTTTCTCATCAAAATGTTGTTTTAATATACTCATAATACTTGTATTCTGATTGAAATTTACAACGAAACTTTGCAAGATTGTATTCATTTAATGTCAACATGTTTCTACTCGAAAATATCTATCTCTATTTATTGCTACATTCAGACAGTTCTTTTCCATCATTTAGTCATTCACCTCTTAACTTAAATATAATTGTATCTGCTTTTCCATTGGAATAATTATATAAACATTCTGTTGTTTTCTACGTGGTTCTGTTTTATCATCATTAGCACAGAAGTAAAAACAGAGATACGATGACAATCAAAGAGCAGCAGACTTTATACATAAGTATTGTGCTAATATACAAAAACAAAATATAAAAGCAGGATAACGATATCTCTTTGTGATTCATTAGTGTGTAGATTCTATGAGTTGATCATCGTCATCATCGAAGTAAAAAGACTAGTTGTTAGTTTTTGACATTCGAAATCAAGTATTGGCGACCTTTTCTTTCCTGTCATTTTTTTTCTACCTGAAAATGATAAACAGATTATTTCTTCCTTGTAGAAGCATAAAAAAAGTAGAAAATCCTCTAAGTGAATATATTGCCCTGATCATTCTTAATAGAAAGTAAGAATAGAGAAAATAAATCAATGATGACCTTTCGGAAGTCAATCATTCTTTGCCGACGAACAAACCAATTTTATAACAAATATAATACTAGTATTTGCCTTTTATTAATATAAGATTCATGCATATTGTAATAGTATTAATAGAAAAAGAAAAGAAGAATACTATTTAGTGCTACTACTACTACTACTACTACTAATAATAATAATAATAATAATACAAATCGTAATCATAATTATAGTAAACCTAATATAAGCACAGATAATTATTGTCGACCATGTACATCAATTAGAAGTTACTAGTAGTCAAGATCGACAGACACTAATGAAAGAAAAATGATCCCTATTGAAGCAATATCGAAAAAGATTTTATCTTCAGTCTCAGAAAAAAGAACCAACTATCTTTTCTTATCAATAGTGGCATGTGTGATAATATAAGTATCGGTAACAAAATTATGTTCGAATGTTGTATGTCAAATCATTATATGTCTTTTCTCTATCTCAAGGTCGCACCCTTGTTAACATATTTTTGCCTCTGGAAATCTTCATCATTATGAAAAATAACTCGATGCAGGAAACCAGAAATCAAATATCACGTCGAAATATTCATGTCAATCGGGATTTCTTGTTTTAGTGACATTGGTATCGATTCTCTTGTTCCATGGATCTGTATTTCATCTTAGATATGTTGTAGATACTAGACTAAGCGCGAAGAAGTTATAACTACAAACATAGAGAAAGAAATAGAGTAAGAGAAGCGAAGAAAGTCGACACATACGTATATAAACATAAAGAGTTGAACAAATATCTCCTATTATCACTATTCATCGAGCTATTCTCATTCATATTACATATCGTTCTACTTATCAAACAGCAACAATACAGCTAAATAGCTGGTAAGTATACTTTATTATTAATATTATAGTTATAAAATCGAAGAAAATTCAGTTCTTCGCTTATGTCAAATAGAAACCAAATTATTTTATAGAAGATTACTCTTGTAACTCTATCATATTAAATTGATTTCGTCTATTTGTAATTAAACCTTGGTCTTATCCATATCCCTGAATACACACAATTTTGAGTGATCGATTTAAATTTAGCATGAAAGTAGACAATTCTAAACAGATTTGTTTGTCATTGATTAAAACACCGTTGCTTTGGAATAGAAAATTTGATATCTAACATACATATATGACTAAGAAAATTTATGTAAATGTGAGAAACAATTATCATTGAACATGAATGTTTTTATTTTTAATAAAAGAAAAAAACAAAAAGGTGTGAATCTGTTTTCTTTTCTCTTCTCATGTTCTTTCAACCGGATAAAATGCTGAACATGAACAAGTCAACAATCAGTTTTTTTAACTGAATAATCTCTCTCTCTCTGTCTTTATATACGTATGTATATACGTATATTAATTGAGTCGCCATGATATATGAAGAAAGATTTCTATATAAATGAGTATGAACTTTTGTCTTGTGTTATTTTTTCCTTGAGACTGAAGTTTTCTTTTCTATGTCGTAATGATGATCAAACGATTCGTTCTTTTTTTCCCTTTTTATATGTGTACATATATTGAAAGCTAGCAATATACGTATATGAAAATTGTTTTACATCTATAGAATAAATGTTTGTTTTCATCTAGTACATGAAAAAAAAGAGAAAGACGCGTATATTGGAAGTATATATGCTCAGGGTAAGTTGATGAATGTATGACGTCTCCTCCGAACTATGTTAGCTTTTTAATTATGCAGATATGTCATTAACGATTCTTCGTTATGGAAGATGTTTATGTCATAAGAAGATATTCTAAGAAGAAAGAACAAAAAAAAGGTGTTAACATTTGTTGACAGTTTTTCTTTTGTTGATTGACCATGTGTAACTTCGTGAGAGATAAAAAGAATACAGCGCTGGTTATGATCAATAAAACTTTGCGTAATCTTTCTAACGTTGCTCCTTTTGGTGACAAATAAAAATCAAAAATGACCGATCGACACGATTAGTGTTGAGTGTTGTTGACCTTGACTAACTAAATACAATTGTTTGTTATATATTTGCCGCCCATATTCAGTTGACGATCGGCACCTATCTACATATGATCGATGAATATCGTTTTAAATAGGCCACTTTGTTCATATCGTATCTTGTTCTTTTCATTTTTGTTGTTGTTGTTGTTGTAGAATAAATGATGATGATGATTATAAGTGTTCTTTTGTATTCATTGTTTTATTCATGTCAAGTGATCGATGGGGTGTCTAAATATAATCTTTGGTGGTAAGTTAAACATATAGATGAAATGATAATATTGATAATTATACCTGTATTATCAGGAATATTGGTGTTCACGAAGGCAATGACCATAAAGTGTTTCCATATACATTTTTGAATTCTGGAAGCCAATATGAAATTAATGAAGATTCATCACAATATTGTCAATCAATATTAAAGAATTTAACTACAGGACAAAAACAGATATGTTTATTACATGCAGATCATATGCCAATTGTTATTCAAGGTATTTTACTGCTTTCTTTTTAATGATAGATCAGAGTTACAAATGAGCAATGGTTTGCTTTTGTCTAGGTGCAAGTAAAAGTATCGAAGAATGTCAATATCAATTTCAAGATCGTCATTGGAATTGTTCAACAGTAAAAGATGGCTCTGTATTTGGACCAGTTCTTAATCATGGTAAATAATGTTAGTTCGATAAAAATTGATTTTGTTTCACACTTTACAATCTAGCGAATCGAGAAACAGCTTTGGCTCATGCAATGTTTTCAGCTGGTGTAACATATGCTGTAAGTCGAGCATGTAAACAAGGCTTATTAAAATCATGTACATGTAGTCGATCTGCTCGACCGAAAAATTTACCACGAGATTGGTCATGGGGAGGGTTAGTAGATTAAAAACAATATGCTTCCATTATTTATTATTTCAAATGGATTTTGTTTTATAACTAGATGTGGTGATAATATCGATTATGGCTATCGATTTAGTAGAGATTTTGTTGATACACCAGAAAAAGAATTTGACCCTATAATTCCATATGATTCATTAATAAATTCAAATCAAACGATGATTTACGCAAGAAGAAAAATAAAATTTTTCAAATCTGGCAAATTAAGACGTCAAATGAATCTACATAATAATGAAGTTGGACGAAGAGTAAGTTGCAAGAAAATAGATTTCCTTTTTTATTAATTGCTATTTGTATTAAGGCTGTTTATCGGTTAACACGAGTTGTTTGTAAATGTCATGGAGTTAGTGGTTCATGCAGGTAAATTTTTACAAAAACAAAAAGATACCAATAATATCGTTATGTATTTAGTCTTCGAACATGTTATCAACAATTACCAACGTTTCGTGAAGTTGGTGGATTGTTAAAAGAAAAATATGATGGTGCTATTGAAGTACGTTATCAACGTCGTTTAGGAGAATTACGTTCGCGGGATCGTCGTTTTGTTGGACCAACTAAAGATGATTTAATTTATTTTGAAGAGTCAAACTTTTGTGAATACAATTCGCGTATTGGTTCATTAGGTACAAAGGATCGTCAATGTAATCGAACAAGTCATGGACCTGATAATTGCGTAACAATGTGTTGTGGACGAGGTTATAATACGATAAGAAAATATATTCAAGAAAAATGTAATTGTAAATTTATATGGTGTTGTTCTGTACAATGTGAGACATGCCATCGGTTTGTAGAGATTAATGTGTGCAAATAGATTTGTTTGTTTGTTCGTTTCTTTTTAGTATGAGAGAGTGAATTTGTTTTGTTTTGCTTTCTTTTTTGTTACTATTATTTTAATATAAGAAAACTTTCAATATGTTTACGTATAATTAACTAACGATAAAGAATTATGAATTGCCATTTTGATATTTAATCTTATATTTTGGTAATAAATAGATTCTCATGCTGCTAATAAGTATAGTAAAGGATAAATCTCTATGGGAAGTTCCTCTCACAATGATGACTATTTTTCTAACATTATCATATGTTATTTGATAAAGTCAGATGAATGGCATAGGAGATTGTTAACAGTTTTTACTAGGTAGACTGGCTAATCTTTTCTAACAAAAAAAAAATAAAATCTCAGCATGACTGATGATACCAAATATTATGATAGTTTTGTTTTTGACTATTTTAGGTTTGTTATTCACTATTGCTTATCTTATGCTGAGTAAAACTAATGAATGTTGACTTACAATTATTGAAAGAGGCACTTCTGTACAATGTTCACTGACGAATGTAAATGAATTCATCTAGTATATTAACATCGTACAGATTGTTTTATCACATAAGATTGAAATTAATTTATTTGTAGACTTCTTCCAACTAAGAAATAACTTTGCGGTCTGTTGAAAAAATATGTTTCTTTTTCTTTCTAGAATAACGAAACTTCTTATAGGCTGGTGTCAGTTAATCTTGATAACTTATTGATTACAATATATCATGTACAGAGAAGCATTTACCGTGTATTGTGTTCTATTCATTTCTAGAAATGAATTTCTCTTATTTATATTATTGTGCGAGTCATAGCTACTAAAAGAAAAGAAAAAAGAGTTAAATTCTATAGTGGACAAAAGTTCAGATTATGAAAATAGTGTCTATAGCTATGTGTATTGATTATTCTCAAGATGGATTATGATAGTTGTCTTATATATTACTTGTACTGTTGTTCATTCTATTTCTCAGCTTCCCTTCACTAATGTGTTTGTGTAACTATATCCATATGTCTATTCCATTAGTTTAACACCAAGTAAATTTATCAATCATGGTCGTTTCTTTATTTTTCTTGTAACATATCTAACCGATAAATTTCAATTGCTAATAATGATCAGAACTTTCTTTTTAAAATAATTTGAATCGATAGATCCATGAAAATATATGGTACTGATTATGACAATGGTGTGTCAAGTTCGGGATGACTGCGAGTAATAGACATCTTGAATTATTAAACCATCCGATATGGACGACCTTGGAACATCTCTATGTTAGACGAACTGATGACAAGTTGTTTCTTACTGTTTTCGTCAATTTTTGTAAAGATACCAAAATTGACGATAAACAGTGTAGACGACAACACTAAGGTGCTTTCAGTACGGTTTCATTCTCTTAATTTCATTTGCTAGAAAAAATTTTTATGATGAAAATCTTTTTATATAATTGATTATTCTTTATATTCATTCAAAGTTTCCAAAAATGACGATGAACAAATCAAAATTTTTATGCTAATTTTAATGGATATCTATTGAAAAAAAAAAGAAATATCTGTTGACAAGTACTGCATATATAAGCACAGTGATCTATATTTCCAAACAGATTTTATTCGAACAGTTTACTAATATACAGATCGACAATGATGATAATAACACATAACAATGGTTATTGAGTGTAGATCTATCTATCAATAATCATACTTCAGGACTCGAGTGTCAACAAAGCTTGCTTTTCTAATTAGATTAATGGTGGGCATTTAAAGATACTTGCCATAAGATAATAATATTTAAAATAAAACTTGTGGTGCAAAAAAGTACTAGAATAATAGACATAAGATCATTGTTTGCTTGGATAATATGTACTAATCTCAATTATTGCGTAATCAGAATATGTGTTTTTCATCGTGTAAAAATAAACCAAGCTTCAGATTTATGTGGTGTCATTTTTTTTCTTCTTAGCAATTTACCGCAAGATATCGACAGAAGAATATTCAACACTTCTTAGTTCGTATATTCGATAATCAAATAATCAGTGGATAACATAAATTTTTTAACATTTGCACTCTTGATTGAGTTAACACTATAGTTAGTATTAGAACTTTTATAAACAAAAGTTATATCCTCGACTGAACGTTCCAGTTAATTAGTTGCCAAAGAATTAAGAAGAATATATGAAAAAAAAACATCTTTATTATATCAATAATATTGATATCGTTTATTAGCAGGCAAATGTCAGAAAAAAACTGTTTCACAACAGGCTAATAACGTCGTTAGAATCTGCTACAGACTACAAATAATTTTGCCAAGGCTACTCAAAAAACCAAATCCAGAAGAACTATTTGTTATTTCCTTGGTTATAATTAACTGTAGTGCAAAAAAGACATCTAAATAAAGTAATACTTGTTTCCGAACATAGTCTTATCAAAACGATACAAATGCTCTATAGCAAAACAGTTAGTGAGATGCATTGGCATAAATATTTTTTCTTCTTCTAAGGCGCAACTGTTAGCCGACATGATTGATTAGCAGCTGCGTGCAAATAGTGATAATGTACTGGTATATTGTAACATAATTTTGATCAAAGTCGATTGAGATTGCCAGAAAAATGTTAATGAATTGCTAGAGCCTCTTTTTTTGATAGGGCGAATTAATATTCAATTACATATTGTTGTTCTATACGGTTGCCAAAGACCTTGTTTTATCAGTATTTGAATCAATAAATGATCTATTAATGTTTGAGTACACTTTGGTGATATATTTTACGTCTGACAGATTTTTCGGTTGCCAACAGTTATTTGTTTATAGAATGGATAACTAATGTTTCTTTTCTGGTTACGGTTAAGATCTATTTCTTATTTCAGGGTTAAAACTTGAGTTGGATTATTAGCAACAGAAATAAGTAATATACATAATATATATTTCTCGCTTGGTTGAAGCGGACAAACTGATAGCGTTGTATTTGCATGCATCAAATAATGGATCATTTGAGACAGAATGAGTTGTATTTATTCTTTTCTATGCGCCTGTTTGCTTATACTATATATGTACAATGTATACACGCTGCAACAATAATACCATAAGAGACCTCCAGGAATTTTTCTACTACATGCAGTATGCACTTCCATAAATATCTGACGAAAAAGGAGATGGATGCGAGTCTTTCTTTTTTTTTTTCTTCTTCTTCTTCTTTTTCCGTCTAGCTCAACCCTCTTGATGGAATGTAAGCAGTGCTATAGTTATTGGTACCAGTACCAGTGGTCGTCGACGAAGGGAAGAGAGGAGAGGAGAGCAGAGGAGAGATATATAGAACGAGACAGAGAGGAAAAAAGAAGTGAATATTATGGTTCGTCCGAGAATATTTGCCAATTTTGGAGATATATCCGCTTTGGTTCGGCCAACCAACGCAATAATTTTTGATATCATCATTGGGATAAAAAGAAAAAATACGGATAAGAGAGAAGAAATTAGAGCTATTTCTTGTCGACGATTTGTTTCTTCTCGGACGACAAAAAAAAGAGAGTGTATATAACTACTTGTTATCCGACAAGACAGTCGTTTAGCACAAATAAAAACTAGGCGAGTTTCACCCTTTAGCAGGTATAGGCAAATAAAGGCAATAGCTCATCAACAAGTTAGCTAATTATAACGCATGTGTACTTTTAGATTCTATTCGTGTTGAGCATCTTTGTTCAAAATAATCAATAAATAATCATGTCGATCGAAGGGTAAGACATATAAATGAAAATGAATTGATGATAAAACAATGTTGTTGCTTTTTTCTTTTTATTAGCCTTATCTATGATCCAAATGATCCGGAATTAAAAGAGTCAATGAAATATTTGGCTCTACCACCTGAAGAGCGTCTTAAACTTCAATCTCAACCTTTCGATGGCAAAAAGCAATGCTGGGCACCTGATGCAAAGGAATCCTTCGTTGCTGCTGAAATTACTGATACTAAAGGCGAAGAAGTAATAGTTAAAACCGATAAAGGAGATGTATGTACAGTTATCAAATAGAGTTAATTGAAAAAAAGATGTATCTAACAAAATTTCTTATTTAATATTTAGAGTCTTACTTTGAAAAAAGATGATGTTCAGCAAATGAATCCACCTAAATTCACTTGCTGTGATGATATGGCTAACTTAACTTATTTGAATGATGCTTCGGTCTTGGCTAATTTACGTGATCGATACTCGCGATGGCTCATTTATGTATGTATAAAAAATTTTTTTTTTTATAATAATAATCTTGTCTTTTTATACATTTGAAAATTATTTTATACTCTAGACCTATTCAGGTTTATTTTGCGTTGCTATCAATCCATACAAACGTTTACCAATTTATACAATGAAGGTTGTACTTATGTACCGTGGTAAAAAACGTACTGAAGTACCACCACATTTGTATGCTATTTCTGATAATGCATATTCAAATATGCTTCGTGGTAAGTAAAAACAAAAAGTTGTTTTTTTTTCTAGTCTAAACAATTTAATCTTTCCTCAAATGTTCATCATTATACACCCTCACATATATAATTATAGCACCATATGAAATAACAGAATATGCTTTGACATTTACTTTGATTACAAAGTACTCTAAACATAGTTGCACTTTTTTTGCTAGTTATTCTATACAGTACGTGGGAGCAGACGACAAGGCTATCCACTATCGATCAATAAGAACGTCAAACAAGACGAGTATGAGAAAAGACATATGAGAAGAAAAGATTTTTCTGAAATGATCAAGCATCCAATAGATTCTACCACGTACAACATATATAATATATACATATACATATACATGAGGAATGCGAGACATTTATAAACGAGCTGATCCTGTCTATTATTTAGATGCAAATGATAGGCAAAAATAAATTAATCATCAAGAAGCTCGATGCTTCGTAAATAGTAATAAAAATAAATGTCAGATCAATTAAATAACCAATTATTTGCTAAAATAAAGAGAAAAAAAACAACAAACGATGAAATGGTATTATATTATTTTGTTTAGAGCGTGAAAATCAATCGATGTTGATTACAGGTGAATCAGGTGCCGGAAAAACAGAAAATACTAAAAAGGTCATTCAATATTTTGCGTTGGTTGCTGCTGCTAGCGCTAAGAAAGACGAAGGAAAGGTAATGTATTTAAAGTCTATATCTTCATCATTGCACACATTCAATCACATAATTTTATAATCAGTCATATTAATATAATATTTTCTTTGTTTTATTTGTGGGGATTTTAAAGAAAACAATGACCCTCGAAGATCAAATTGTGTCAGCCAGTAAGTTTGAGTCTATTGCGACGGACAGAGATTGAAAAAGTTTCTCGTCAGTCAAAAGAAAACTATCAAATCGTGGATAAGAAAAATAAATGTCTCTTTTCCCCAATAATTAGATCCCGTACTTGAGGCTTATGGTAATGCAAAAACAACTCGAAACAATAACTCTTCTCGATTCGTAAGTTGCGGTTTATTGAAAAACCGCAGCAACAGCACAGCATTAAAGCCCGATTTGATTTGATTTATCCACAAATCTGAGCACTTCGCCCGATTCACATGACACATGTTGAACAGCATATCGCATACACATTGATATTTACACGCTCACATACTTTCACACATTCACACCTAACCTAACGCATGCACACCTTGTTTATTTCCTCATCATAGAGATCTATGACTCTGGAAGATCAAATTGTTCAATCAAACCCTGTGCTCGAAGCATTTGGTAATGCTAAAACGACTCGAAATAATAATTCATCTCGATTCGTAAGTTTGAAAATCGAGAATAATTATAAGAATCAAGAGTCATATTTATTCGATGCATGCATTATTAATTTGAGGTTTATTTTTATTTTGGATCTGAATGTGCATGTTTGACTCATATTTATCATATATCGTTTATGATTTGTTGTTTTGTTTGACAAAATTTCTGTTCCTTTCTTTCGAACGGATACTTGTCTGTTGTTAATTTATTTTCCTAGGGTAAATTTATTCGTATCCATTTTGGCAGTTCAGGAAAAATTGCTGGTGCTGATATTGAAGTATATTTACTTGAGAAAGCTCGTGTCATTTTTCAAGTATGTTACATAAAATTTTTTTTGAATTTTAAAATAATTCATTTTTATTTCATTTTAGCAACCAGGTACTATATTCAATTAACATATTCATTCGAAATTAAAATTAATGATTCATTCTAGCTGAACGTAATTATCACATTTTCTACCAAATGTGCTCAAGTGCTTTTCCTGATATTCACAGTAAGATTTATCAAAAAGAAAACGAAAGCATAGTCGACCAAAAAATTTAAATTTAAATTTTCAGAGGAATGTCTTATTACCACTGACCCAGGGAAATACCATTATGTAGCTCAAGGCATGCTTACCATTGATAACGTTGATGATGCTGAAGAAATGAGAATTACCGATGAAGCTTTTGATATTCTTGGCTTTACAAAGGTTCATATTGAATTTACTAATAAATAAGAAATAAAACGTTTTCTTTTCTGTTCTTGTTAATAGGAAGAAAAAATGAATATGTACAAATGTACAGCAGCTATCATGCATTTTGGTAACTCACAATGGAAACAACGACCACGTGAAGAACAAGCCGAAGCTGAAGGCACAGAAGATTGCGAGAAAGTTGCTCATCTTCTTGGTGTTGAAGCTGCTGAACTCATCAAAGGTTTACTTAAACCACGTATAAAGGTAAAATATGCCTGTTTCTGTGATTTATTAATTATTATTGAATTTTTTATATAGGTCGGTAATGAATATGTTAACAAAGGTCAAAATAAAGATCAAGTTATTAACTCAATTGGTGCTCTTTCCAAATCGGTATGTAAAATGATTATAAATTGAGCATGAAGTTTTAATGTACACGCTTTTCTATACTTAGATTTACTCGCGTATGTTTAACTGGTTAGTCGAGCGTGTCAATACAACGCTCGATGTTAAAGCTAAACGACAATATTTTATCGGTGTACTCGATATTGCCGGTTTCGAAATTTTCGATGTAAATATTAGTGATTCAATTTGATTTTTATATATTTGATTTCTGATATTAATCATTTTAGTTCAATGGTTTCGAACAATTATGTATCAATTATACAAATGAACGTCTTCAACAATTCTTCAATCATCATATGTTTGTCTTAGAACAAGAAGAATATAAGAAAGAAGGCATACAATGGGAATTCATTGATTTTGGTATGGATTTACAAGCTTGTATTGATCTTATTGAGAAGGTTTGATATATTTATTTTTAAACTATTATTTAAAACTACTAGCTATATAAATTTAACTTATAGCCTATGGGTATTTTATCCATTCTTGAAGAAGAATGTATCGTACCTAAAGCTACAGATAAAACATTTGTTGAAAAACTTTACAACAACCATTTGGGTAAACATCCACAATTCGGTAAACCCAGACCAGCCAAGGGCAAAGCTGAAGCAAATTTTGAAATTCATCATTATGCTGGTTCTGTCCCATATACAGCTACAGGTTGGCTCGAAAAGAATAAAGATCCTATCAACACTACTGTGTATGTAAACAAAATGAAGATTTTGAACTCTCAGCTTTTTTCTTATTATTGATATACTCATACTCATTCTCTCTCTCTTTCTCTTTTTTTTTAGTGCAACACTCTTTTCAAAATCGAAGAATGCAATGTTATGTAATCTCTTTGCTGATGTTGCTGAAGAAGAAGGTAGCAGTGCCAAAACAGGAGTTAAAAAGAAAGGTGGCAGTATGCAAACAATTTCAGCTACTCATCGTGTAAGTTTGTTTCTCAATAATTAAATTTCAATCAAGGTATCAAAACATAGTTTGTATGATGTCAGATCGACGTAGTTATGCATTTTCCATAAGTAAAATTGTATTTAGCATTGTTTGAACTATTTTTCATGCAAATGAATAAGACGAGTTTAAAATCTCAACTGAATACAATCTTTTAATAAATCATGTTTTGATAAAGGATACTGTTAATCAATATATTTTCCACCAAAATAGCTGCGTTTTTAAATCGAAACAATGTGACTCATATAGACTTAAACGAACTTTGATTCTTTCAGACAAGGCGTCAAGTGCTAGACTGATTAAATGAGCGTTGTCGACTTTCGTTCCTTCAGAAACACGAGAGAAGTTATTTCTTGAATTTCAACTTAGAATTTTGAGTGAAGGCAAATCTTAACTAAAATAGTTTACTATGAAAATTTTAGGCATTTTTATGTTCTTCAGTTCTTGAAGAAACTATCGCTTTAATACAGTATGTAGAGAGGCATAAGATAACGGACTGCTCTCTTGTCAGAATATTGATAGATTCTTGTAATTCTATATAATCCATAAGTCTCGAATTAACGAATTGAACAATGATGCATCAATGAAAAGAGTGTCCTCGTAGATCTTTACAAAAAAAAAGTAATTTTAATCATGATGACAATGCTCTACAAAAACCAATTTCAAAAATAAGGATAGTAGTTACTAGTTTCATTCATAACATTCAATGATAATTTCTTCATAAAGAAACGCTTCCAATCAATTTGAATACTTTTCATAGTAATTAGATTAAGTATTATAAAGCATTGAAAACTTCGAAAAAATCCAATATGAAAAGTATGAAATTTTTGAAAAGATATTCTACTGATATTTTTATAGCATATACATCCTGATTATATTGTGATAGTGTAGACTTAATTTATTTATTTTTTCAGGAACAATTGAACAAATTGATGGCTAACTTGAAACAAACTCATCCTCATTTCGTTCGTTGTATTATTCCGAATGAAATCAAAACTGGAGGAGTACTTGATTCACACTTGGTTCTTCATCAACTTCATTGTAACGGTGTACTTGAAGGCATTCGTATTTGCCGTAAAGGTTTTCCCAATCGTATGATCTATTCTGAATTCAAACAGCGTTATTCTATTTTGGCTCCAAATGCTATACCAAAAGGATTTGTTGATGCTAAGAAAGCAACGGAAAACATTCTCAAAGAAGTTCAATTATCTGATGAATTATATCGATGTGGTACAACAAAAGTATTCTTCAAAGCTGGTGTTTTAGGTCAACTTGAAGATATGCGTGATGGTGCATTATCAAAGATTATTGCAACATTACAAGGTCAAATTCGTGGCTATATTATGCGAAAAGAATATAAAAAAATGTTAGAACAACGTATTGCATTGTCAGTCTTACAACGTAATGTTCGTAAATATTTATCATTACGTAATTGGCCATGGTGGAAATTATATACTAAAGTTAAACCTTTATTATCCATTGCAAGACAAGAAGAAGATATGAAAAAACTTGAAGATGAATATAAAGCACTTAAGGAAGCTTTTGAAAAAGAAGAAAAACTACGTAAAGAAACTGAAGAAAGCAATGCTAAGTTAATTAAAGGTATTTATTAATTTAAATTCTTTTGTTTTTAGTAAATAACAAAAATTGTTTTATTGTTAAGATAAAAATGATATGTATTTACAATTGGAATCTGAACGAACAAATACCGCTGGAGTTGAAGAACGTCTTTCACGTTTAGTTACACAAAAAGCTGATCTTGAACAACAAATTAAAGATATGGAAGATCGTATGACTGAGGAAGAAGAAGCGTCAAGTGAATTAAATAATAAACGTAAAAAACTTGAGCATGATATTGATGGTTTGAAGAAAGATCTTGATGATATGCGTTTAAATTTACAAAAATCTGAAAATGAATGCAAAACACGTGATAATCAAATTCATACATTACAAGATGAAATGGCACAACAAGATGAAACAATTGCTAAATTAACACGTGAACGTAAACGTCTCGACGAACAAAACAATAAAACAACTGAACAATTACAAGCAGAAGAAGATAAAGTCAATCATTTAAATAAGCTCAAATCAAAACTTGAACAAACGTTAGATGAACTAGAAGATAGTTTAGAACGTGAAAAGAAAAGTCGTGCCGATTTAGATAAATCAAAACGTAAATTAGAAACAGATCTTAAAGGATTACAAGGCAGTATGGAAGACTTGGATAAATCAAAACGTGAATTAGAAGAAAATCTTAAACGTAAAGATCAAGAAATTCAACAAATGGGTGGACGCCTTGAAGATGAACAAGGACAAGCAACAAGTCTTGGCAAGAAAATCAAAGAATTACAAGCACGTATTGAAGAATTAGAAGAAGAACTTGAAGGTGAACGACAATCTCGAACGAAAACAGAAAAACAACGAGCTGATTTAGCAAGAGAAATCGATGAAATGAACGATCGACTAGAAGAGGCCGGTGGTGCTACAACAACACAAGTTGAAATGAACAAGAAACGTGAAGGTGAATTAGCTAAACTTCGTCGTGATTTAGAAGAAGCTAATCTTCAACATGAAGCAACAGCTGCACAATTACGAAAGAAACATCAGGATGCTGTCAATGGTAAGAAAAAAATTTTCTTAGATAATTATAATTGATGTCGGGAAAAACAAATGTGCTTCTCGTTTAGAAATGGGAGAACAAATTGATCAATTACAAAAATTAAAAAATAAATTAGAAAAAGAAAAACAAACAGTTAAATCGGAACTTGATGATTTACGTACTCAAGTTGAACATGTACACAAAGGAAAAGCAGCAGCTGAAAAACTTTCCAAACAACTTGAACAACAATTAAGTGATATACAAATTAAACTTGAAGATAGCCACAAACAAATCAATGAATTTAGCAGCTCAAGATCAAGATTAACAACTGAAAATTCAGAATTAGTCAAACAAATTGAAGAACTTGAACATCAAGTTAGTTCATTACAAAAAGTAAAAGTCACATTACAACAACAAGCTGATGAAGCTAAACGGGCTTTAGACGAAGAAGTACGTGGTAAAGGTTCAGTTAGTAAGTGTCCATTAAGTTTTCGTTTTCATATTATCTACGTTTTCAAAAATTTTCTTTAAGATTCACAAATACGTAATTTAACTGCTGATCTTGATCAAGCACGTGAACAACTTGAAGAAGAGCAAGAAGGCCGAACTGAATTTCAACGACAAGTTACCAAACTCAATGCTGAAGTTCAACAATGGCGATCCCGTTATGAATCAGAAGGTAAAAATAATATTACTTGTAGAAATCTTTTAACTTGGTAGTATCAGAGACGTGAACAATGGAATCATTTGTATTGATTACTTTTAAAAGAAATTAAATATATTTTATTCTTGAGTAGTTCGAAATAGAAATCGTTGTTATTGATTTTTTTTTCACAAGAATATAAATCAAACAAATTGAATAGTTATGTGCATTGTTGTACATTTAATCAATAAATCTTATGTTTTTATTATAGGCTTGGCTCGTTCTGAAGAACTTGAAGAAGCTAAACGTAAATTAGCTGCTAAATTAACTGAAGCTGAAGAACAAGTCGAAGCTGCATTAAACAAATGCAATGCATTAGAAAAAGTTAAAGCTCGTTTACAAGGTGAAGTTGAAGATCTTATGGTTGATGTTGAACGTGCTAATGCCAGTAAGTTAATTTAAATATCATCTTATGTAGAGGGGAAAACTCATTTATCCTGTTTTGCTTTTTTCTATTAAGATGCTTCTGCTATGGACAAGAAACAAAAACAATTTGATAAATTAATTAATGAATGGAAACAAAAATGTGAAGATATTACAGTTGAATTAGAAGCATCACAAAAAGAATCCCGTCATTATTCAACTGAATTATTCAAACTTAAAACACAATACGAAGAGTCACACGAACAAATTGAAGCACTTCGTAAAGAAAACAAGAACTTGGCCGAAGAAATTAAAGTATAGAATTAAAAAAAAAAGAAAAATTAAAGTTACATTTAAAATTATTTTCTTCGTCTTTTTTTTATAGGATCTTATGGATCAATTAGGTGAAGGTGGCAAGAGTGTTCATGAATTAGACAAAGCTCGTAAACGTGCTGAATTAGAAAAGGAAGAATTACAAGCTGCTTTGGAAGAAGCTGAATCAGCCCTTGAGCAAGAAGAAGCTAAAGTTTTGCGTGTTCAAATGGAATTAAGTACCGTTCGTCAAGAAATCGATCGTCGTATACATGAAAAAGAAGAAGAATTTGAAACTACACGCCGTAATCATGCACGTGCTCTTGAATCAATGCAAGCTAGTTTAGAAGCTGAAACACGTTCAAAAGCTGAAGCACTTAAACAGGTAAGAATCAAATCTTTCTTTTTAATTTTCAATTAAATATATATTCATTGCTTTTTAATTTTCTAGAAAAAGAAACTTGAATCGGATATCAATGAACTTGAAGTAGCTCTTGATCATGCAAATCGTAGCAATGCTGATTTACAAAAAACACTTAAGAAAATACAAGTTACAGTTACTGAATTACAAGTACAAATCGAAGATGAACAACGACAACGTGATGAAGCCCGTGAAGCTGCTGCTGCTGCTGAACGTCGTGCTAATCTTATTATCGGTGAACTCGAAGAATTACGTACTGCTTTAGAACAAGCTGAGCGTGCACGTAAAGCAGCTGAAACTGAATTAAATGAAGCGGCTGATCGTATTAGTGAAATCAGTACAATCAATGCTAATTTATCATCGCAACGACGACAACTTGAATCAGCTGTTGCTGCTATGCAAGCTGATTTAGATGAAGCTGTTGCAGAACTTAAGAACAGTGAAGAACGCTCGAAGAAAGCTGGTAAGATAGATAAAATTAGTGTTCATCAAGTTTTAAAGAATGATTTCTTAAGGATCATATCTGTTTATTGTAGAGAACTTATTTTTCTATCAATGATTTATATTAGATATATATATATATATAATCAATTTTACTTGTTCGATTTCAAAAATAATTGTCAGATTCTATTAGTTCTAATTTAAAATACTTTGAAAATTAGTCGCAGTTTATGAATTGAAATTTGCTAAAGAATTTTCTATTTAAACAATAATGTCGCAAAAATAACTTGAAGTTCTGAACAAAGGAACTATGATATGTTCTCTTTCGATTTATATTGAAACAATCTGTAAATTCTTGTTAATTTTTCATATCAATCTTTGAACACTCCTATTTGATTCTATTGTTTGAAATATGTCGATGCTAATAATTTTTCACATCAGATTAAACTTCATCATAAAGCTCATAAATTTCGACGAAATTTCAGTGCAAGAACTTTAGCACTTTTTACAAGAAATTTATTTCTATTGAAAAATATTCTTTTTAGCTGCTGACGCTGCTCGTCTTGCTGAAGAATTACGCCAAGAACAAGAACATACAATTCAAATTGAACGTCTTCGTAAAGGTCTTGAACAACAAATTAAAGATCTTCAAACACGTCTCGACGAAGCCGAATCGAATGCACTCAAAGGTGGCAAACGTATTATTATTAAACTTGAACAACGTGTATGTATACACAAGAATAGAAAGAATAAAAATTAAAAATATTCTTTTTCTAATTTAGATTCATGAATTAGAAAATGAAAATGAATTAGAACAACATCGTCATCAAGAAACATTGAAAGAATTACGCAAGAATGATCGACGATTAAAAGAATTAGCGTTTCAAGCTGAAGAAGATCGTAAAAATCAATTGCGTTTACAAGATCTCTCAGAAAAATTACAAAGCAAGATCAAAATTTACAAACGACAAGTTGAAGAAGCTGGTTCGTATTAATAATTGCTTTTTTTTATTAATCTTCTTGTTCGAATATACGAAAAAATTCGTTGTTTTTAGAGGAAATTGCCGCTCTCAATTTGGCTAAATATCGAAAAGTTCAAACTGAACTTGGTATGAAATGAAAAATAAAAATAAATTCGTTTAAAACTATATTAAATTTTATTATTTTTAAGAGGATTCAGCTGAACGTGCTGAACTTGCTGAAAATCAATTAGGCAAATTACGTGCTAAAACTCGTTCAACGGTTAGTGTTAGTCGCACTTCACCAGGTGTAAGTATTCATTAAACATACAATTTCTTTTTTTAATAATATTTATATTTATATTAGCGTGAAATACGGGAATCAACCATCATTCGAGCAACATCAATGATGCGCTCTAATTCGGTCCGTCCTCGTTAAGATTAAAATACAACATCAAGGGAATCGATATGTGCATGAATTTTCATATGTGTGCTTTTATTTCCCTTTTTTCTCTTAATGATCTATCTGAAGTCTAGCTGTTTATTTGTCTATCTATATATTCTTTTCTTTTATTGTCTTTTTCTATTCATCAATATTATGTAGAATGTCAATACGTTCCTTTTGTCTTTTTGTCCCTATACAAACAACATTACTTGCAAAAAAGGAATTAATATTTAATAAAAATAAAGAATAATTAGAGGATAAGATTAATTATACTTCAAGATGAATTAAATTGAGATTTCGTAATGAACGCTTATTTTCGTCGAAGATTGTATCCATTTTAATATCCCATTTTTGTTTTTCTTCATTCAATCGTGTAAGAATATTATTAAAGCCAATATCAATTAGATTTTCAAATGATGTTTCTAAATTTGAGATTTTCCCATCTAACATTTGAATATGTGCATCTTTTTCTCGTTGCATCTTTTCATATTGAACACGTTGTTGTGCAAGGTCTTGATCTGTAATACTTAAACGTGATTTTGTAGCACTTAATTCCATTTCAATTTGAGTTATTTTAAAACCTAATTCCATTTGCATCGTTTTATATTGTTGTGTTAAACCAGATGAAACAGCTTTCATATCACTTTGTAATTCTTCAATATTTGCTTGTGCTGTTTGCATTTGTTCACGATAATTATCAGCTGTAGCAAGTGAACGACGTGATAATTCACGTCGATAAGCCATTTGATCTTTCAATGCATCAACTTCATGTTGACTTTGTTTAAATTTAACTTCCATTTCATTGTCATCACCACCTTTTTTCTTTTTACCTTTGCCTTTCTTCTTTGGAGGCATCTTTAATTTTTATCTAGAAACACAATAAAATATCGAAGTTTTTTATTTCTTTATGTCACAATAAACAAGAAGATTAACAGTATGATTATTTTATTAAAATGTCTACTTGAAACGTTCATCGTGCTCTTGTCCTCGTGATGTTTCAGCAATAACTTTTTTTAAATAATCTACAAATGTTTGTTTAATATTTTCGATTTCATCCATTTTGCCATTGAATGCAATACGAGGAATATCAGTAAATAGTGTAGCTAAATATAGAATGAAAATTGTCACTATTTAGACGAGAAAAGCTACTGCATATCTTACATAATGGTAAATTTCTGCCACTTTTACTATCTTCTTCGTCTTGATTTTTTCTTGATGCAACAAGTAAACAACATTTTTCTGTTAAATTTGGTTTCTCAACAAAATTGTTATACCTAAAACAAAGTATAAATATACAGTTCGATAGAAAAATATTCCATTGTTTTTCTTTTGTTAAATATTTACCAAAGATTCAGTTCTTCAGCTTGCTTTTTATCGTCGGGATTATAAACAAAAACTGTTCCATTTAATTTGTAACTCATTGCAGGCCATGTATGTTCAAATCTATGCATGTATATCTTATTAATGATATATTCACATAGTAAAATATCTACTTTGTATCTCCACTGCAATCAAAAATTTGCACATTCCAAGTTTCTGATCTGCCTCTAGTTGTTGATGGTGCCTCATATTCGATAATACTTAAATGAATATTGTTACATACTGAAAGTATAATAAATTGTAAGATTCTAATACTTACCGAACAGGAACTGTTGGTATATAGGTTTCAGTAAAAGATTCACGTGTTTCCGTTGCAAAATTTATAAATGAACTTTTGCCACTCTAATGAATAAAATTCAAAGAGATTTATAGAATTGAAATAAAGAAGAAATTCATTTGCTCTTACAGCAAGTGGACCAACAACAGCAATTTTTATCGTAGGAGCTGGCATCTTATGATGTATATAATATTTGATTCAGGCACTGTCCACATCGCTCATTCACTTCTTAGGATGGCTACCATGGAGAATGTGTTTCAAAAACAAATTTCAAAAACAAATACTATTAAAAATCTTGTTCAAGAGAAATTCAAAAGTATTGACTTTTTAAAACGATGAAATAAAAATATTTTCAAAATTTAATCACGTAGATGTCGTTACCTACAGATCGATTAAAGATAATTGAAAACTTCTTGCAATTCTATATGCTATATCGATGGCACAAACCATACTATTGACGTGTATCACTAGAACAACATGTTATACTTTAATCGTATGATAATCGATCATGAGAACGACTCGATTGACACAGTAAGAAAGATCTTGCCAACTGATTACGTTTGGTAACTAAATTACGTAGTTTGGCTCTTTTCTGTACAGATGCAATAAATTGAAGATAACTCTCTCTCTCTCTCTGCCTCTCTCATTATGTACATGATGCTTTTGTTTCGTTTTGTTTTAAAGGAGGATGAAGGCGAATATCTATACAACGTAACTATGCTAATATTTGAATCTTATAACTCTATTTCAATTTTGTTTTGTTTCTGAAAATCCTACATCATCTCATACATATATGATTTGTATATTTTAATAAACTTTTTAGATCAAGGTTGTCTTCGATCGATTAAAAATATTGATATTCATTTAGTAGAACATTAGCGGAAGCAGCAAATAAACATCAAACGAATATGATTAAAATAAATCGTTGAAATGAATAAAATAATCTGCCTAAACATTGTTCATGAAAAAAAATATTGTGTTCTAACTGCCTGTAGAATTCAAATACATCTGCTCTTTTTTTTTCTAGGCAAATATATGAGATATATTCAAATTTCTGAAAAAGTAAATTGCACATGCTAACGAAACTTCCGTGAGCTCGAAAAATGTATTACAGTCAGTGCAAATCAAAGGTTTAAAAAGGCATTGAAAATTCTAGAAATCATACAGTTCTGAAAAAGGTGCAACAGTTTGCTAAGAAAATGCTCATGATTTCAAATATCTACTGTATTTCAACATTGTGAGAATATAATAATTCAAAATCTCATATTATCCATTTAGTGAAAATCGAGAACAAGTTGGCAATTTACAGCGGTTTTATTAGTTCGTTTCCTGGCTTCATTACAACCACGAACGAATAGTTTTATCCGGTTTACTACAACTCATCGCTAAAAACCATTCAATTTTTGTGACACAGGACGACTTTTTCAAGATTTAATTGAAAAATATAATCGATATTTAAATAAATTATAATGTGAAACCTACATGCTAAATCTATTAATATTATTGACCAAATGGAGAATAAGTTTATTGTTTATTATATAAATTTATTCCTATGTTTTTTTTTTATTTACAAGAAAACATTTACATTTCACCACATTGAGAAATAATAACAGGAATCTTTGGTTTGCTATTGTGTGCCACAGGTACGTTTTCGATTTTTCGAACTACTAACATACCTTCAATAACTCGACCTTGGATAGAGAAAAGAAAAATGATCAAAATCATACATTAAAATCAATGGCTTACCAAATACAACATGTTTTCCATCGAGAAATTCACAATTCGTACATGTAATAAAAAATTGACAGCCATTTGTATCTTTTCCACTATTAGCCTAAAATAAAATAAAAATTCTTTTTATTTTCGCCAAAACTCATCCTTAGCAAACTTGCCATACTAAGAAGGCCAGCTTGATTGTGTTTGAAAGTAAAATTTTCATCAGCGAATTTTCCACCATATATACTCATTAGGCCAGTTCCATCACCCTATAAATAGAAATAAAATGATATACATCGAAAAAGAAAAAATTTCACTAGTTCACTTACATTCACAATATCTCCTCCTTGTATCATGAAGTCTTTAATAACTCGATGAAATGGTGCATTCTTATAGCCGCATGGTACACCATCTTTTTTAAGTTCACCTGTGCAAAATTGTCGAAAATTTTCTGCTGTTTTTGGTGCTGCATGTGCATAAAGTTCAATTAATACTCTTCCTATCTCTGTATTTCCAACAGTTATATCAAAAAATACAACTGGATTATCCGGATGTAATAAACGTTCAGTCCAAGACATTTTTTATAAATGTTTTTTGTTTTTCTCTAAATAAATGCAAACGTATTAAATGCACCTGATATTTTTTTTCTTTTGTAGATAGAAAACAAAAAACCAAACAAAACAAAAACCTTGCCACAATTTATTCAACCAACATAATCTATCACAACTTTTGAGGATACATATTCTTAGTCACCAAATTTCTTTCTTTTTTTTAATGAGCGAAAATTATGAAATCCAATTTAGTGTGAAGGAATTAACGAGAAAAATCAAAAAAATCTTGAATAAATGATATTAGTATTTGCTTATTTTCTTTTTCTTTCATTCTGTTCAACAGCAACAATAACAATTCGTTTTTTCACATAGAATATCATTGTTAATTTGTTGAAGATACAGTATCAAAAAAAACTGAAGGTTTTTATTTTCTCGACTCTTGTTCAGCTTTGCAAGTTACGATTGCTTCTTCGCCAAGTGCTTGAAGTACAGTAATCTTAAGAGCTTCACCATTTTCGAATTTGCTTCTTATTTCAGTGCCTAATTCACCTTCTGGAAGTTTTATATCACTGCGACATTCCGAGCTATCATCCAAAAGTGAGACATAGCCCTCATTATCAATATCCATTAACTATACAATAAAACAAATTTAAATAAAGTCTTCAAGATTCAACCTATTTTACCGAATATTCAACACGTTTAACGTTTGGAACGCTCATGTTGTGTGTTGATGGGCAGATATCTTCGTATTTTTTACCTGTAAAAATATCAATACCAACCATATGAACCTAAAGAGGATGGCAATATAAGATCTACATATACATTTTCTGTGAATGAATTGTAGCTGTTTTTTCATACTTTGGCATGTCCATGTTTTCCTGTCTTTGATGTTGACATTTCCATAATTTTGCATGGACGACTTTTTAGCATAACATAACCATTTTTACGTAAAGCCGAGCATTGCTGTGGATAGCTATATAGAAAAAATTAATTTACGTTAATCATGCGACTGATAAATGCTCACGTTGATGATGCCCCAGCATCACCCGTCTGGAAATCATCATCATCATCATGAGGAGCACTTGTCTCAGCCATATCAATATCAAAAGATGAAATATATATTTATATAAGTTCTAAAACAATAATGGAATCCATAAAAACAAAGAAACCGATGTTTATCAAGTTCATCATCTGATTGGAAAGAAAACAAAAGAATCAACAGGTCAAATAGCTTAAATTGCATATATGATGGTGCAATTTAAAATAAAATTTCGCCATTACAATGATAATACCTCTGTTATGAATACAACAATATTTTACATGCGCTTATGTATATCCTGCTGGATAGATATTCTTGTGGAATGCCTCCACTGTTTTATATGCTAATAATTTAGTGGAATTATTATGAGAATGAACTTGAAAAATAAATTCATTTCTCCTTGCGTTATTTCAATGAAATCAAACACACTTGATGCCAAAAACTGACATCTATCGAATATTTTACATAGAATTATATCAGACTAGATAGTATGTGTTAACCATAAAGCAGTGTTCGTCAAAATTGATGATTAAGTGAACTTTATTCAGGGATGCCTTCAGAAACGAAGATATTTGCTTCAATATGACAATTTTTGCCTGTTTAACTTCGTATTGATGATCAACTAGACTCATAGATAGGGAAAAAAGTTATATGATGGATAAATTTCACCATTTTCTCAATAAAGTTATTTTCATTAATAACTTAGTGTTATAATGGGAATCAGATAAATATGGTATTTTCTCTTTCTCTTTCTTGTGTTCTACTGTCGTACATACGTATAGATGATACGTAATAAATACATAGATACACCTTTCCTTTGTCTTTTCATGCTGATGTAGTTATAAGTATTTTCCATACCTATATACATTTTACCTAGTTCACTTGTATCGTGTATATATAACATATATATATATAATTGTTCTTTACAAAATAAAGAAGCGATTCATTATTGATTTGTTAACTTTAGGGTAAAGCCGTTTACGATTCTATTGTTTGATTTTAATATTTTTAAACGAAAAGAGGGCAATCGTGAAGTCTTGAAACGCCCGTGGTTGTTGTGTGAATTCTTTTTATCTGAGTTCGAAGAAGAATTCTTTTAATATTCTGTTATGCAGATTATCGAGTCCGTTATGATCATTTGTGATCACTAACTCATAAAACGAAACGAAAAATCATGTCGAGAACAAGATTCTATACAGAACAAAAGTACAATGAAAGACGACTAATCAATATAGCAATAGATAAAAAAAAAGTATTTCGCTATAAGAACTGCTATTGTTGTACAGTTTGCATCGCAGGATCTTGGTATGGTAACAGTAAATATGAGAATATTTCAACAGAAATAATAAACGCCACTATGAATTCTATTTTAATAGCTAAAACTATTCGATGTGTTAACAAAAATCAACGTCTAAATGATTATAGATATTATAAATATTATCTCGTGAACAGTGGCAGAGTCATGATTCTCGGCGAGAGGGAGTGCAGTTCCCTCATCGATCGACAGTCATATAATAATTTTTTAATTGGCATGGGTAGCAATGATTTCTACTATTATGTTACCTGATTGTGCACCAAATCCGCATCACATTTATACATGTTCTTTATGCCAAAACCGAGAACAAATTTGAAAAAACTCAGCCACAACTCAAAAAGTTGTTGCAGCCTGATTTTCGTTGTTTGTCAACTATTCGCCATATCTGAAGATATTTTTGAAAGATGTGTTTTTATCTAATCCAAAAATGTATTAAGGCGTGATAAGAAAGTTTTCAGGCAAAATGTTTTATTTCACTGTTGATCCGACGGGACGTATTTTCGACTACTCGAAAACTATTATTAGTTACTACGAAACTTTGATGACCATTTTGAACATACCTGCCTAGAAATTCTCTGCTTTTCTTTGAAAATAATTAGTGAAATAGTATTCAGAAAATCAAACAAATAGATTAAGATAGAAATTTTTCGTTCATTTTTGTATTGTGGTTTGGAATTCGAAACGAAAACTTCGTATCGTACCTTATAAATAAGCTTGCAGAACCGAAGATACCCTAAAAACTGTACTACGCGAAGTTTTTTTTGGCTGTCTCAAAGGCATCTCAGTTTCTGTTCTTCCCAAATACTCATTTCTAAAAAAAATCGACTTTTCACCAAAAATCATTTTACGTTAAGAGAAGCTCTTGAGAGATGCGTGCAGAATTACTTGAGTGGAACCTATAGTTTAGTTCAATATCCCATTTCGTCGGGAAGCATGCATTTCAGAAAATGAAGGGTTAGGACAATTCTTAACATCTTCGTAGTGTAGCTTACAGTTCAAACAAAAACAAAATGTTAGCGCATCATTGCAAGTAACTTTTCACGTTCCGTACAAAGTCCTTTACTATATTTGAATAAAAATACGTACAACATTTTTTTAAGCTCATCTGCGAAAGAGCACAAAATTTTAGCCATAGAATAACTTTCGACTCGCTATTAACGATACAGTTTATTATCTTAAATTGATTTCACCATCGATTTTTTCACTTGTTAACACAGAAAGAATGTGTTTATATTAGAGCCTGACGGGCTCTACCTGCAATGTAAACACCAGAGACCGTCACAGGGCAACTTTTTTTGCCCTGCCCTGTCCTGAAACAGGGCAGGGGATGATTATAAATTGAACTGAAATATTGAAAAAGGTAAAGACTAAATGAAAGTGTTGTAACCGCTGAAAAGTAAAGTACTCATATTTTATTTATCTATATTCGAGAAAATATAGATATG